CTTCCTTCCTTGGTTTATTCTTGCTTTTCGAGTTCTTTGAGGTGTACTATTAGATTGTTTATTTGATATCTTTCTACTTTTTGATGTAGGCATTTATTGCTATAAATTCCCCTCTTAGCGCTCCTTTTGCAGTATCCCATAGATATAGGTATGTTGTATTTTGATTTTCATTTGTTTCAAGAAATTTTTAAATTTTCTCCTTAATTTCTTCATTGACCCAATGGTCATTCAGGAGCGTGGTGTTTAATTTCAATGTATTTGTACAGTTTTCCAAGTTCCTCTTGTTATTGATTCCTAGTTTTATTCTATTGTGGTCTGAGAAGATACTTGATATGATTTTGATTTTTGAAAATTTATTGAGACTTGATTTGTCTTCTAACATAGGGTCTATCCTGGAGAATGTTCCATGTGCTGATGAAAAGAAAGTGTATTCTGTAGCAGTTGGAGGAAATGTTCTGTGAATGTCTGTTAGTTACATTTGGTCTAAAGTGCAGTTTAAATCCAATGTTTCTTTGTTATTTTTTTGTCTAAATGATTGTCTAATGCTGAGAGTTGGGGATTGAAGTCCCCAACTATCCTTGTATTGGTGTCTATCTCTTTCTTTAGATCTAATAATATTTGCTTTGTATATCTGAGTGCTCCAGTTCTGGGCAAATATATGTTGAGAATTGTTACACTGTCTTGCTAAATTTCTTCCCTTATATAATGACCTTATTTATGTCTTTTTACTGTTTTTGACTTCAAGTGTGTTTTATCTAAGTATAGCTACTCTGCTTTGTCAAAGATCTGTTGGATATATGTGATGGTTTTATATCTGAGTTTTCTGTTCTGTTCCATTGGTCTATGTCTCTATTTTTGTGCCAATACCATGCTGTTCTGGTAGTAACCAAAGCCTTGTAGTATAGCTTGAAGTCTGGTGATGTGATGCCTCCAGATTTGTTCCTTTTGCTGAAGATTACTTTGGCTATTCAGGCTCTTTTCTGGTTCCAAACAAAGTATAGAATTATTTTTTCTAGATATGTGAAATATGATGTTGGTATTTTGATGGGGATTGCATTAAGTTTATAAATCACTTTGGGTAGTATGGACATTTTAACAGTGTTGAGTTTACCAATCCATGAACATGATATGTTTTTTGATTTGTTTGTGTCTTCTGTGATTTCTTTCCTCAGTGTTTCATAGTTCTCTTTGTAGAGATCTTTAACCTCCTTGGTTAAGTATATTACTAGATATTTTATTTCTCTGTGGTTATTGTGAATGGTATTGAGTCTTTGATTTGACTCTCAGCTTGACTGTTATTGGTATGTAGTAATGCTACTGATTTGTGTACATTGATTTTGTAACCTGAGACTTTGCTGAATTTATTTATCCAGTGCTGTCCTTTTGCTCTTATTTTTCATCCTTTGGAGTCTGCTTCTTATTTTTGAATTTTATTTTGTTTAGATGGGGTTTACACACACACACACACACACACACACTCATACAGGTGTGTTTGTAGCATATGTTGGGTATGAACCTTTGATTTTGTTTGTGGGTGCTTTGATGGCAAACTAGGTTTTGAATAGATGCCATGGTTGCAAATATTCTTAGTGTGGTGGTTTTCTCAATTGTGAGATGTTTATATGCTATAGCAGTGGTGAGCTATGTGTGTGGGCAGATTCCCTTTCTTACTTTGATGAGAGAAGATGAATGTTTTTAAAATCCTTTCTCTTTCCCCAGCCCTGCAGTCTCCTTAGCAGTGTGAATTGTATTGGCACACTCTGTTTAATTTCTGAGATAGTAGGTGGTGCTTGTGGGAGGTAATCAATCTCACCCTGTATGATTGAGTCAGTAACTGCTGAAATGAGCTGTGCAAATTGACCTGCCTATCAGTAGGTGGCACTTGCCAGAAGGAATAGTCTACAGGGTTATCTTTGAGTCTTGTGACTGGCTCTAGTCCCTCAGGTAGAGAACTAAAATGTCCCAGCTGTTGGGTGGAGCCCTGGAACTTCCAGATGAATCCTTATTCTCTGCCACAGAGGAAGTGGGTCAGGGAGTGAGGCTGGGCAGAGCTGGGTTGGGTGAGCCTGCCCTCAGGCTTCACAATAACTGGTATGGTAGCTGCTTCAGCAAGGGTCAAAGCTCCCAGCTTCTGGGAAATGCCATCAGGGAGGGGCTTAAGTGTTCCCACCCAATCAGACAGTCTGCTTATGGAGATGGGGCTGTTTGAGATTCACAATCTGTCTGTCTGGCTGGCTCTCAAAACTCTCCCTGGCCTGCACATCTGATCCACTAGCATGTGTCTCCATGAAATGCTGGTGGGTGTGGAGCACCCACATCGAGTGTCCCAGGTCCACTATACACCCACAAGGGAAGAAATGTGGGCCCCAGCCTCTGTGGAGGCCTCAGCCTGGAGAGTGCACCTGCTGAATAGAGGCTGCCACTCACCAAATTTTTGGCTCAAACTTCTCTCCCAGTGGGAATGGGTTGGGGAGGGGCCACAGCTTTTGTCAGTCTGAGGGCCTGAATGTTCCATACCTGGTTACTATGGCTCCTGGGGCTGTGCTCTTCTTTGCCGCAGGATCAATCCAATCCAATGGGAGTTTTCCCAGACCTCCCCATTGTGTGCAGTAACCCACTCAAGTCTGGAGTGCATGGGGTCCTTCCTGCTTGTCTGTCCCTCTGGTGTGTGACTCCATGAAGAGCTGGTGGACAGGGAACTCACAAATCAGACACCACAGGTCTGTCGCAGGATGAGGCAACATTTACTGTCAGATTTCATACCAGCATGAATTGATGGGAAGCTGGATATCAGACACTGGCTTTCAAAATGCCACAATGTGAAAGGTTGTAGGCTGAGGTACCAAATCCTACCAGCTTCTTGAGCCATTTGAACTCAATGGGATACAAACATAGGATAGGTTTATTTTTTTCTATCATATCTTTTAACAACGCTCTTTCAAATCTCCCTTTTTGCTTTGACACTTCAGACAGATTACATAGATTTCAGAGGGTTTCTATTGTTAAAAAGTTCAGTGTTTTCCAATTTAAAATTTCAGCCTCATGTCTTCTAATCCTCCAACTCAGGTTTGACTCTTCAAAGGAACGTAGAGTAGGGGAGAAGGCTTTGTCTGCCATTTCTCTTCTCTTCTCTGCCTTTCTGATTCTAACTCTTTCGTCATGTTGTGAGGATAGAAAGAGAAGAAAAGGGATGACATCTGTTTCTTTCCTGACCACTGCTCATTCTTACTAAAGAAAGAAGGACTGGGTTGCTTGTGTGAATTTCCTTTACTGTGTTACTGTGGCTAAGACGTAACTAATTAGCCATCAACACCCTCATTCCTGGCTCCTTCATGCAGTACAGGTGGAAATTTTCTGGGGGAGTCCTCACTGAATGGTTCTTTGATATGGGAGATAAGCTTTGGTGTGCTCTCTTCCAAACCCTTTTAGCTCTATCCCTGTTGATTCACCTCCACAATCTCTAACTACCAGCTGAGATACCACCAGGGAGCCTCAAGTGCATTTATTGACTTCACATCCTACCATGGCAGACTGCTTCACTGCTGGCCTCTTTCTACTCCACTGACATTTTTTAACTCTCATGTTTCTCTCTGCTTTAGTGGGCAGAGAGGGCTGACTAGCTGGTCTGCCATGTGAGAGCCTTTCAATTAAAACAATGAGATATTGGTCTGCCCTTCTTATAGGCACCTTCCATCTCTGTGAAAGATTCTTTTAGAGTCCTCTATAATTTGGAAAGAAACAATCTACCCTCTCTTCAATGAGGAGGGAAGGGAAGGTCCTCTTAACTGATCATTGTGTCCTGCCAACTCCACTGGCTCTAATTCATCTCCATCCTCCAGCTTTTGCTTGTGTAAACAGGGGTGGGAAGGAGGTAGAAGCAATGGAAGGATCTAGCACCAATCTGTTGTGGAGGGCAACAGATTGGATCTTTACCCTTAGAGTTGGATCCTACATACTGATTTAGAGCTAATAGGAATAGTACTAGTACTCAACAGCCCACTATACATTTTATGCCATGTATGTAGTCACATTAATTAATTGGGGACTTGAAAAGGTGCTGGGAAACATTTTTATTGAATATTTAAGGCTGTGTTTCTTAAGATATGGCTTATGGACCTCCTCTAGCTGAGTCCACTGGGGAGCTTAAGGGAAGAGATGCCAATTCTTGGGCCTCACATCCAGATACTTGGGCTCTTGAGGGTTGAGAAAGAGTCAGGAGTCAGGACAAACACTTCAGGTTTTACTTATGCATATTAAAGTTAGATAACTACTTGTCTTGAGTCCCAACACCTCTGTGATGGTTTTATCTTCATTTTACTGATAAGGAAATTGAGATTCAAAAGAGAACCATGACTTGCTAAGTGACAAAGTACTATTCCACTTAAAATTAGTGATAGTGAATATCAACCTATCCCATTATTCTGCCATTGACTATAATTTTCAGTGGAGAGAAAATATCACTCAATTTATTTATCTTTCTTCAGATTACCAAAGTAATACATATTTTATATTAGGGAGGCCATAACAACACACAAAATTAACCAAATATAATCTCAACATTCAGATGTAATAATTTATTTCTGCATGTTATACCTGTTTTTATAAAATTAAAATCAAATTATATTTTAACACTCTTGAGTAACCTGCTAACTAAAATTAATGTATTGTGAATTTCCCCATCCATTAAGCACATTCTTTAACATAATTTTCAATGGCAATGTAACCTTCCACTTTAGGGATGTACCATTCTGTATTTAGTCAGAATTCTGTATTTCCCCTGTTGATGGAAAATTTGATTATTTCAACTTTTTACTACTACAAAAAGATAGTTTAAATGTTAAGAATCTTAAAACGAAGCTGGGGGATATATTGCAGCTGTCTAGAGGAAAAGAAGCCAATTTTTAGAGGTCATATATCAAAAGCGTTTAGGGTCTGATATGATATGGAACATTTTCATGGTCATTAAAAAGATTATTTTGTGTCATTTTCTTTCTTACCAGGAACAAGACTGTTTTGTTTTACTTCAACCTGCTAAGCTGTGCCAGTCCCTCTGTGATGGTAAACCTGCAGTGCCCTACCACACAGGTAAGGCAAAAGATGCCTCGCTGGTGGTGTTAGCCATTCTGAACATTCTTGGATAAAAAGTATTCAGAAATTCCATTGGAGTTCTGCGTGTGTGGTTAATTAGGAATTTATAGAGGGTGGGAGGACATAAATATGAGCTCGTGTTTGTTTACATACAATCAGAACTAAGCAGAGATTATTTAAAGAAATTATTTTAGAATCACTAAAGAACTTAAGTTATTATTTTGTTCAATCACCTATTTTTGCAAATAAATCCTGCAGCCCAGAGGAATGGAGATATTTTTCCCTAGATCAGCATTATATTAGGAAGAGTAAAGCTGGATACTGTAACTAATAAGCCCCAGTTTTTCAGTGACTTCACACAATAACACTTATTTTTTGTCCACATAACGAGTACACAGCAGGTGTTTGTGATCAGTGGGCTACTATTCTCCAGGCTCCTTCCATCTAACAGCTCTGCCATTCCTAAAGTTCTCCTTGTCCTCTGTATCCAGCTACCAGAAAGAGAGAGTAGGATGAATAAAGCACCCCTGCTTTTAAAAGCCTTGGATTGCAAGTCTCACACATCACATTTCTACTCATATGCCATAGACACAAACTAGTTTTATACGGTCACACCCGGATGCAAGAAGGAAGAAATACAGCAATGTAGCTGTGAGCTAAGCAGCCTTTTCTATACCATGGAACAAGTGGAACAAGAGGCACGAACCTCAGTGGACAGTTAATTCTGTAGTCTATAGTCTATATTCTATAGTCTCTTCTATAGTCTACCCTTCTGGCCTCCAGAACATGCTGCTTCTTCCCAAAGGAGAACCCAGAGTCCCATGTAATATGGTCTCTAACTCAAAGTCTAGGATCTATGGATGATGCACAGTTCTCTTCATTAGGTCTTGACACTAAATGTACAATGGATAGCAAGGATAGGAAAATTAGAATACAAGCTCCTATTCAGAAAGGGAGGAGTGATCAATACCTAGCAGTTTCTGGTGTATGTCAATGAAGGAAAATACTTTATTTGACCTGACTTGTGTTCTCTGAGGGGAACTCCCTTATCCATTGCATCATATAACCCTTTGTTTAGCCACCTGGAAGGAGGTTATTTTCTTTCCATTAGCCTCCAGGCTGAACCACTCCTGAGCACTGGGAAGTATGACTTCTTAAGGGCCATGTAGCTTTGAAGCTCTTTCTCCAGATGACTGTATGGCTTGATCAGTGGCCTGCTTGCAGTCTTTCTACAAATGTTACCTTCTTAGTGAGGCCTTCCTTAACTACCTATTTAAAATTCAAAGCCCACCAGACCACCACTCTATCTCTAGCCTCCTTTCTAGTCTTATTTTTTTTTACCTTTTATACCATCTTATTCATTACCATTTATTACCATTTTATAACAAACATTTTTACTTGCTTATTATGGTTATCTGTCTCCTTGTAGTAGAAGTCAAACTGCTTAAGGGCAAGAATTTTTATCTGTTTTGTTCGCTGCTATGTCCCCAGTGCTTAGAACAGGCTCAGAGTAGGTGATCAGTAAATATTTATTAAATGAAGAGACCTTTGTTCTAGAGTTCTGTTTAAGTCCATTGTTTCTTTATTTATTTTCTTTTTGGAGGATCTGTCCTGTTCTGTCAGAGGGATGTTGAAGTCCCTGGCTCTTATGGTGCTGCTGTTTATCATTTTGTTTCGATCAAGTATAATTTGTTTTATGAATCTGGGTGCACCTGAGTTAGGGACATAAATATTTAGAATTGTTATTTCTTCTTATTGAATTGTACACCTCACCATTATATAGCGAGCCTCTTTGTCTTTCATTACTTTTGTTAATTTGAAGACTAAGTTATCTGAAATCAGAACTGCCATGCCAGCTTTCTTTTGGCTTCTATTCTCATGGAATATTGTTTTCCATCCCTTCATCTTGAGTCTGAATGCATCCTTCTGGGTTAGATGTGTTTCCTAAAGACAGAAGATACTTGGCTTGAGTGTATTTACCCATTTGGCTAGCCTATGTCTCTTCAGTGGGCAGTTCAAGCCATTCACATTTATTGAAAGAATTGATAACTGGGGCAGATTTCGGTTTGTTCTATTGAGTTGAACTTTGTTGCTTGATTTTCTCTCTTGAACCATTGTGGCATCTGGCTTTTGGATGATTTTGCACTGGCGAGTATTTATTGTGCTACTCTGTGTATAATGTTCTTCTTAGTACTTCCTGAAGGGCAGATCTTGTCTTGACACATTCCCTCAGTCTTGCTTGTCTGAGAAGGTCTTAATTCTATGCTTGGTAGGGAACCAGAGAAGATCCTGTAAAATAAAAACAATCTTAAGCAAAAACAACAAATTGGGAGGTATCAATTTACCAGACTTCAAGCTGTATATACTACAAGCCCATAGTAACTAATGCAGCATAGTATGGGCACAAGAACAGAGACACAGACCAATGCACCAGAACTGAGTACTCAGATATAAAACCACCTTCATATAGCCACCTAGTCTTTGACAATGAAGACAAAAACATATCCTGAGGAAAAGAATCCTTATTCAATAAACAATGCTGGGAAAATTGGATAACCACATGTAGAAGACTGAAACAGGATCTGCACCTCTCACCTCTGACAAAAATCAACTCACAGTGGATAACAGACTTTAAACCTAAATCAGGAAACTATAGGAATTCTAGAAGAAAATGTTGTAAAAACTTTTATAGACATTGGCCTAGGCAAATTTTTATGAAGAAGACTCCTAAAGCAATCACAGCAGCAAAAAGAAAAAAATGAATAAATGGGACCTAATCAAATTAAGAAGCTTCTACACAGCCAAGGAAACTCACAAGAGCAAACAGACACCTGCAGAATGGGAAAAAATATTTGCATCCTACACATCCTGTAAAGGGCTGATAACTAGAATCTATTTAGAACCCAGGAAAATCAGCAAGAAAAAAACAAACAACCCCATTAAAAGGTGGACAAAGGACATAGAAACTTTTTCAAAGAAGACAGACTAATGGCCAAAATGAAAAAATGTTCAATATCTCTAATAATCAGGGAAATGCAAATCAAAACCACAATGAGGGCTGGGCGCAGTGGCTCACACTTGTAATCCTAGCACTCTGGGAGGCCGAGGCGGGTGGATTGCTCAAGGTCAGGAGTTCAAAACCAGCCTGAGCAAGAGCGAGACCCCGTCTCTACTATAAATAGAAAGAAATTAATTGGCCAACTAAAAATATATATACAAGAAAATTGGCCGGGCATGGTGGCACATGCCTGTAGTCCCAGCTACTCGGGAGGCTGAGGCAGTAGGATCGCTTGAGCCCAGGAGTTTGAGGTTGCTGTGAGCTAGGCTGAAGCCACGGCACTCACTCTAGCCTGGGCAACAAAGTGAGACTCTGTCTCAAAAAAAACAAAAACAAAAAAACAAAAAAACCACAACGAGATATCACTTAAATCCAGTGAGAATGGCTTTTATCAAAAAGTTTCAAAACAATAAATGTTGGTGTGGATGCAGAGAGATAGGAACACTCATACACTGCTGGTGGGACTGGAAACATAGTACAATTTGCAGTACAACCTCTGTGGAAAGCAATATGGAGATACCCCAAAGAGCTACAAGTAGAACTGCCATTTTATCCAGCAGTCCCATTACTGGGCATCTACCCAAAGGAAAAAAAAGACATTCTATAAAAAGGACATCTGCACTTGAATGTTTATAACAGCACAATTCACAATTGTAAAGATATGGAAACAACCCAAGTGCCTATCAATACATGAATGGATTAATAAAATGTGGTATATGTATACCATGGAGTTCTACTCATTGACAAAAAACAATGGTGATAAAGTACCTCTTGTATTATTCTGGATGGAGCTGGAGCCCATTATACTAAGTGAAGTATCACAAGAATGAGAAAACAAGCACCACATGCACTCACGATCAAATTGGTATTAACTGATCAACACTTAAGTGCATATATAGTAGTAACATTCATCTGGTGTTGGGCAGGTGGGAGGGGGGAGGAGTGGATAATATACACACCTAATTGGTGCAGTGCGCACCGTCTGGGGGATGGGCATGCTTGAAGCTCTGACTCAGGCGGGACAAAGGCAATATATGTAACCTAAATATTTGTATGCCCATAATATACTGAAAAAAATAAAATAAACTTTAATATATGCATAAAAAATGAATAAACAAATGAATGCTTGAATATCTTCCTATTCCAAGTTCAAGACTTTTTCTATGATACTACATAAATTCATCATTCCTATGATAAAGCAAAAAAAACTTACACATTATGCTTTTTTGTTGTTTCATAAATGATTTGCTAGATTGTCCTTTCTTCATAGCAAATGTAGTATTGTAACCTTCAGTGTAACTCACTCTCCCAGCCACCAAATTCTAATTTGTAAGAGAGTATTAAAAACTATCTGAATTAATGATATAAAAGGAATAACACAGAACTTCATTCAAAATGTCCTGTATGGTGTGCAGAGAATCAGAACTGAGTCAGAATATATTTTAGCTTCCAATAATGTAGACTGCATTTAGTCTGCCAGGCAATGATGTTATCTCCTGATCTGAACCATATTTTTATGCATTATGTTTTTGTTAACTGCCAGCATGGTCCAGACATGTGTCACAAGCATTTAAAGGACAGATTGTGATCAATTAGGATACCCAACCTCAATGTGACCTTCATTTTGGCTAATTATATGTTGATTGCTACTAATCAGTACCCTATTTGAAGTGAACAAATTGGTCTGATAGAGGGAGAAAGTAAAGAGCAGTTGCTATATTGTTCTTTAACAGCTCATTTGTGTCTGGAATGAAATTCAATGTGATTCTTTTTAATGAACCACTTTTTACCATTTTAATTACTTTCTTTTATGTGTTGCATACACAGCACTTTTATATGTGTAGTATGCATTGTTTGTGTGTGTGTTTATAAATGCAGAAATCATTATGGTCCTAACTCAGTAGTTCCTACTATCTTTTAAAACCTGTGAAAGCATTAGTGATTTCAGTATTCACTTTTATAAGTCCACTTAAATGTATGCAATAGAGGAAGTAGTTAAGTTGTCTTTTAACCTCATATGATGAGTAAATTGTCAAAGTCTAAATGTCTGTAAAGTATCTCCTAATAATGTTCATGGTTTATTCAGCTTGGCTTCAATCAGAGTGAAATGTTGACATCTGCATCAATAAATAACCTTAAGCTTCTTCCAAAATAAATGTATGTGTGTTGGGTGCTGTGAATGTCCCTACATAGTTCTTCAGCTTTTTTAGAAAGATACCTGTGAGACCTCCAATATTTCCTCTAGAGGTGTGTGTGTGTGTGTGTGTGTGTGATTGTGTGTGTGTGTATGTGATTGATTGTGTGTGTGACTGTGTGTATGTGATTGCATGTGTTTATGCATATGTGTGGATAAGAGACAGAAAATACATATGGAGGTGTGAATGTGAAGTTGGGTTGTTTTACCTTGTCAAAACTTCTAGAAAGCATTAGACTGCTGCTGCTACAAGACAATATTAACTTTGAGATTTGAGACATCCATTATCTATTCTCCTGCTCACTTAGCTGTGGGGCTGACACCAAATGCCCTAGTGTGCAGCAGGAACATGACCCATAAGGTAGAAAACAGATGTCAGCTAAGCAGCAGTGTTTTTACCTAACTGCCTGTAGAGGTCAAGCTCCAGGGCTGGCTGGTGAGAACAATTTCCAAAGTGCAATAGGGAGATGAAGCAAGTTAGGACTGAGAAAGATTTCACTAGGAGGAACTGAAGGTGATAGAGAGATTTGCAAGGGTTGACTGCAGCTCACATGGATTAATCTGACCTTTCTTTATTTTTTAAAATAAACAAAAGCAAAACCAATAGAGTACATCTTTCCCCAATTCTGCTTTCTCTCTGTAGAGTTACTAATTGGATGTCAGTTATTTTTGTGGTGGCTCCATGAACTAGCACAGCGATCCGGTTTGGCACTGATAGGCCCCCAAAGTTCACTAATGTAAAATAATTACATAGATGACGTCTCTGCCCACATCTAGATAGTGTTGGTAAGAGACTATAATAATGATTGACTGTGGTAAATAGTTCTCATTTTGTTCATTTCTTGTGGTGATAAAACCTCAATTATGTTTTGCGAATTGTTACTGAGAATTCACTGGCACTCATAATTATTAGTTGCAGTTGTCAATATACAGAGCATTTAAATCACCATTTTAATCATATGTGGGAAAGGAAGCAGGAGTCTAACCCTGAATATGTATAAACTACACAGGCAAAATTAAACTTGAATTATATTCTTATCTACTAATTCAGAAAATCATAAAGTAGTTTATTAAAAGTCAATAATTGTCCTGTGGTAGTGGTCACAGAAGTCTATACATGTGATAAAATTGCATAGAACTACACACATACACAGGCACACACACACACAGGCACACACAAATGAGTGAATGTAAAACTGATGAAATCTGAGTAAGGTGAGTAGATTGAAACTGTCTTAGTCCTTTTAGTGTTGCTATAAAAGATTACCTGAAGCTGGGTAATTTATAAAGAAAAGAGGTTTATTTGGCTCACAGTTCTACAGGGTGTTCTGCTTCTGGTGAAGGCTTCAAGCTGCCTCTACCCATGGAGGAAAGTGAAGCGGAGCTGCCACTTGTAGTGGTCACAAGTCAAGAAAGGAAGCAAGGGTGGGGGCAGTGCCAGGCTCTTTTTAACAAGCAGCTTTCTTGGCAACTAATACAGTGAGGACTCACTCATTACCAGGAGGATGGCACTCAGCCAGTCATGAGGGATGTGCTTCCATGACCCAACAGGTCCCATTGGGCCCCACCTCCAACACTGGGGATCAAATTTCAACATGAGGTTTGGGGGGACAAATATCCAAACTATGGCAGTAACAAGATCAATTTCCTGGTTATGATATTGTGTTATAGGTATACAAATTATTATCATTGAGGGAAACTGAGTGAAAGGTATGTGGAATCTCTATTATTTCTCATAACTACATGTAGATCTGCAATTATTTCAAAATCAAAAGTTAAAAATAAATCTATCACTGTACAGCATCTTGTTTTAACACAACAACAACATCAAAGAGCAAAGAGTAGAGATTGGTAACTAGTACATGAAATTTCAATTTTTTCAATAAGACTAGAAAACTGATTTAGGTTTCTTAGATGGAAAACAGTGCTTTTGCTCTTTATTGTGGTGGATAATTTAGAATTCTGATCTTATAGATACTTACTTTGGTTTGTTCAAGTCAATTCAATTCTCATCACTGTGTTCCTGCACAGATCTGTGTCTCCAAGTGCCCAGACAAATTTATAACCTATCTGGAAATGCAATTTTTGTACAAAAAAGACAAAAGCTACTGGGAAGACTACCGTCAGTTCTGCAAGACTAATGCTAAACCTGTGAAGGTATGTGTGTTTAAACTTAAAATTAGAGAAGAATTTAACTTTTATTTCAATCTCAATTGTAACATAAACATTTGTTAAGGGACAAACTCCCAAATCTTCCATGAAATGATTACTAAAGGTACCATTCCATTAAAACACAAATTCACATGTATATTCACAAAACATACACATCATTTATAGCATATATTTTGTAGACTTGGGGTGTTTTGAAAGACTATTACTTATGGTAAGTTAAGCTTCAACTATTCCCTGACACCAACAAATTCTCTACTTCATACATTTTTTGCTCTTAAAAGCTAGGAGTTAATGTAATTTGCAGCTACCATTTCATTAATGTGGTGATGAAGCCCCATAGTGCCGTTTGCTAAGAACACATTTAAAAAACCCTAACTCCTACCTAGGTTTGAGATTTGTAAGGGAATTCTAAATTATTGTCATGTTAAATAATATTAATGGTTTCTATATTAGAGAAGATACTATTTTTTCCAGGAAAAAAAATGAAAGATTGGAGACTCAGGGTGTGGCTAAGACAAAGTCACACACTTTCAAAGGTGTGACTTGATTTCAGAGGGTCTGGTTTGGTTATTGTTGATTTGATTGAATTATAGTTAGGACATTTAAGAGTGTCAAGCAAAAATGCACATGTGATAATCTTATAATGACTATCATTAGGGGAAGTAATTTGGAATAATGAGATTATTATGGAGTTAAAGTTGTAAAGCACAACATTTTCGTATTGAGCATAAAGGTAGTCCACACCCTTTGAGATGTTAACATTCTCTTCCTTCCGTTTCAGTCTATCCCACAGCTTTTATTGGATGATGATTGTCCAACAGCAGTTTTCCCAAGCAAACCTTGTAAGTGGTAAACATTTTACCTTAGAAACAAAAAACTTACTGAGAAGTTATTTTAACTAAGTTGCTTTATTTCACTGTTGATAGAACTGGGGCCAAGCATGGCTCTCTGACTGGCCCTAGGTCCCAGCATTGATCAGGAGGAAAGTCAAAGGTGAAGCCCATTTCCTGGCTCCAGCCAGGGATGGTTCCCCAGGAGCTCTGTGAGCCTTGGGATTTTGCTGCATCAATACACAATAATCACAAATTTGAAAACTGAGTTTTAAAAGCTCAGTCAGATTGATTATTTGGTGTTATAGGAGCAGACAAGCATACACGCAGACACACTCATATGTACCCATTCCCAAATTTAGCCAAAAATGTTGTTCAGAAATTGCCTGGGGAATAGGAGTTGGACATATGCTTGTTTTTATAACTTGAAATTTGAAATGTTTATTTATTTTCTGAATAAATCAATGTTTTATTTCTTTAAAATTATAAACATTACTTAAGGTGATAATCTGTTTAGAAAAAATGAAATAATCACTCATTTTCATTTTTGGTTATAATTCTAACTACAGAGAAAAAACTTTACATAAAAATATCTGTCACGATGTTTATTTAAAGTAGCTGCCTGCCAATAAAAAGAAAAGAGAAAGGAAACACTCTAATATGCAAGAGCAAGAGAATACTTAAATAAATTATAATATATTCATTAAATTAAATATTTTAGAATTATTAAATAGAAACATTAGAATAACATGCACATGTGTATACTATAATATTAAATAAAATGCAAACTCTTACAAGCCTTATAATGGCAAGCATGTATAAATTAAAATAAATCAAAGAAACACCTATTCAAAGAAAAGGATTGGAAAGAAATGTACCTAAGTGTTAAGTGGTTGTTTTGGGGAGTGGCAAAACTGTAGGTAGTTTCTCTTCTTCTTTCTTCTGTTTATCCATTTTTCCACAGTGCATGCATTTCTTTTAAAATGGAAGAAAGGCAATAGTCATCAGTTTGAGTAGAAAGTCAAAAACAACTGCAGTTGCTAACACCAAACACATGTCTTAAATATTCTCATCACTCTTCTCTGGATCATAAAGGACCCTGAAGCAAAGATGTAGGTCCCACAAGCAACAGCATTTACAGGAAGCCCTCGATAATAAGTGCCTGTAGCCAAAACCAGTGTTGCAAATCTTTATGCAAAAATGTAAAAATAAATCATTAGTCACCAAAGATATAATAGGTATAAGACATAGTCCCTGCCCTTACAAGTACAGTTTGGTTAAATCATACAATAAAATGTACATTGAGGATACAAAAATGAATAAGGTGAAGTTCCTTACAGTCCAGTGAAGGAGAAATTAAAGTAAACCTTGCAATCAACTTGTGTTCCTCCTAGTAGGAAATTAAATATTGTACTCAATGGAATAGTATGCAGCTAATAAAATTCACTCATTAAAGAGTTTATAAAAAGGAATAAATAATATTAAAAGAAAGTCACAAGGGAAAACACTACATGTGCTGTATGGAAAAAAAAAAAAAAGGAAGAAAGACTGGAAAGAAATTCACCAAAATGTTAGTGGGTGATGGAAGGACTATGTATAGTCTTGTATCTTTTTTCATATTTTCTCAACTTTCCAAATATGTACTGAACACATTTAGTAATGGAAGCTAACAGATTGGATTATATTGTGCAGAAATACTATGTGGAACAAGGTCAGGGGCAGGCAGTGTCTGTTAATACCATGTTAAAGGCTCAGAAAAGTTAACTCATTCAATAGCAAAGATTTACAGAGTTCTACTATGTGCCAAGCACTGTACTGGGTAATGGGTTCAAGTAAGATGAAGATTAAAAAATATCTGGAGGTTTTGCCAATTGGGAGGTCATTGGGGTTACTGGGAGTACACTGAGTGGTGGGGCAGATGTCAGATTGGATTGAGAGGGAGTAGAAGTGGCTGGTAGAGGCTATTATGTCAAATTTGCTGCAGAAGGGGAGGGAAGAGCAGGAGGAAGGTCAGGTGGGTACTAAAGGAATCAGCCGTAACATAAGTGAGACAGAAGCTAGAGATGGGCCTAGAAGAGTTCATTTCAAGCCAGGAATGTCAGAAAAGACTTTACAAAGACATATTTCTTCTAGCCTTATATCAACAGCTTTAATATTTTCAGGTTTAAACTCCACATGAACCCATGCAAATTGGTAATATTTTATAAGAAAAAATGTGAAAATGATCCATTTATTATTTTTCCATTTATTATTTATTATTACCTCTTCATTTGAAATTGTGGTTTTAAAATATTTTTAATAATAGATTTGTAAAGAGGCAACAATTCTATTTAATGAAAGATTGAACAGGGATTTAACTCTTCTCAGAAATTACACTAGTCTACAAAGCATAGGCCTCTTATAATAGCTTTGGAATTTCTATTTCCAGCCCCTCCAAAAAAACCATGTCAATGACAAAGCTGAGAGACACATTATTAAGAATTCCCAAACAAAAATTCAGTTGTATTAGTAGCCTTAAGTTTGAACTGATTCTTATTCTGCAAGCAACTAGTCACTCATCTCCGATTTTCAGGGTTTCCCTCAAGGAGCACCTAAGATTTTTTTTTAAATAACAAAACTAAACTGATTCAATCACGCAATTAATGTGGTCCTTTTATTAAAATGTGTTTACTGTGAGGGATGTGTGTCAGTGTTGCTCTTAAAACTTACGCTGTGCATCTTATTTGTGAATATACTGTGTATAAAATAATGAAGTTTAGAATGTAACTCCAGATTGTGATATCTTCTTTCTATTTCAGTCTTAGAACCATCAGGAAATCTTCAGATCACCAAGTAATGGGCTATTAGCTATCTGTATTGAGCAATTTACATGCCTAGCAAGAATTTGATCATAAATATCAGAAAGCTTAAGAAAGGGAGGACATCGTGAAAGAAGAAGTAGCAAGTGATTACGGTCATTTTATTTTTACAGTTCTCCAGAGATGTTTCCCTGACTTCTCTACTAAAAATGGCAATTTAACAATAAGAAGTAGGATGCTGTTTGAGGATGGATACGGAAGGACAAGAAGTGCTATAGAACTCAGAGAGGCTGTACAGTATGTTTGTTCACATTCCTATTTTCAGTTTTGATGCACCCTGTTATTGTACCCAAGACTAAAGCTCCCATTAGGTTAAAAGTTATAGGAAAAAAATTACATATTCTTATGAAATATACATGTCACTGTGCATTGGAGGACTTCATATATGTTCAAAAGCATGTAAAGAAGGAGAAACCAGAATCAATTATTTAATAGAACGATGATGCTTTTCAAAATGGTTAACTCTTTCACTATCAAAAGGTGAATTTCTCCATACTAACTATAATGCAGTAAATTTACTATTAATATTTCCCTTGGCTGCATACCTGTGGTGCTCCATGTTATTAAGAATATATTTCCCTGGGTGTGCACACAAACACATGTATACATGCACATAAATATAAATGTACAGAGAGTTTCATTGTATAGCTCAAGTTGTTGAATTAAATATAAAAAATAAAGATATTCTAAACATTTCTGTTTCTTGAAAGGTGTTAGCAGTATAAGTAGTATAGTGCAGCTCCTGCATATTTATAATATAATGGCAACATGGGTGAATTTCAGAAATATAAAACTGTGTAAAGAAATCACAAAATAATAATACAAATATGATTCCATTGATATAATATTTAAAAATATACAACTATATGAAATTGCCCTGTGATACATATGTAAATGGTAAAACTGAAAAGAAAACTTAAGAAATTATTACAAAAGTCAGAATAGTGGTTACTTTGGGGAAACGAGAGATGTTGCAATTGGGGCACACGAGGAAGGGGCTGATAATATTGTAGTTACAGGAATACATTCCTTCTAATAATTTGTGTACTTTTCAGTATGTGCTCCATCATGCCTTACTGCTACAATACTGTCAGAGGATTAGGAAGTGGAATTAAAGATGATATTCATTCTTGACTCTATGGATTTTGTAAGTTTAAAGCTGATCTTATCAGTTAAATTCATTTCTTATAGTGAGGTTTCTACAATATTGAGGGCATGTTGCATACAATGGAAAAGGAGCTATTCACCATTCCTGAAAACCATGTTCTCTGTATGTGCAGCTATAGCTACCTTTGCAGGTTTACTGAAGTGGCATTTTATGTATTGTTGTGGCTAGGAAAAGAGTCACTGCTGATAGATGGCTTCTAAAAACATGCATTAAACAGCAGCTTGCAAAATTCCTTTTATCATAACAGGAACATTTCTTTTTAGTGGTAGTCAAAAAATAATTGATTTTTTTTCCTTCTTTGCATTCAGTCGTATCAATAAAATCTTTGAGGCAAGGACACTTGGAATGAAAGTGTTTGAAGACTATGCAACAACTTGGTATTGGATTCTCATGTAAGTGAAAGCACATAGATGTTTCTTCTCCAGCCCCATTCTGCTTATATCTTTGTAGAACTCTTTTTTTCAGTTCCCTATTTTTATTCATGAATAAAAGGTTGACTCAGATCTCAGTTCCTGCCATTTTCTTTTTTCAGATGGAGTGAGGATGGGGCAAAGATATTTGGAAATACACCCTGTGTTAGCAGAAATTTATAAGACTGTAAATTTTAACTTTAGTCATTAAAGTACTAATAATAGTATTCTTATAAAAATACTCCTTCATGTCACATGGGGAAGTACCTGTAGGACATCTGTATCTGTAGTGCACATGTGCTTCTCATCACATGTTACAGTGGATGCAGTGTTATTTCATGGTTATTTTTTCTAATTTTTTCCTCTCTTGACTTCCAAAAGATCACTCTTATTTTTTAATATATTCGTTCCACATAATGATCATTATCATCATCACCAGAAGTCATTGTAGTTATGAGAAGCTACATAACCATGTATGTTATACATAAATATATGTATATATATGAAGGAGGAGGAGATTTAAAATTTTCAGACATTAAGATTTGTATTCCTAGAAAGTTAAGGAAATGCAGTCAATTTTCTGGAGTGGGTAAACGTATTTGACATATCTAGCACTGTTGTTACTATCTGGTTCTTGTGTCACCTTCTAGTGCTTAAAACCTTCTGTGGTCCCCTAGTGATCAAAGAATAAAGTGAAAACTTCTTCAAATATTTATAAGGCCTTTTATAACCTAGCCCAACTAAACCTCTCAATTTTCATCTCCACCCATGTTTCTTGGTTAACCTTCTATTCTAAACATATCAGATAATGTGCCCATCCCTAGATTGTCCAATCTCATGTTTTTGCATATTCCGTTTCCTTTCCTGGCATATCCTTTTCTGAGTCCTGGGCAACTCCACCTCATCCGTTAACATCAGTTTTAGTGTCATTTATGAACCTTTCTTACCTTCCTCGGAGATAATTGATTACTTCTTCCTCTGTGTTCTTCATGCCCTTTGTGTGTGTGTCTACATACCTGTGCATTCACACTCACCTTCTATATAGCACCTACCATTCTATATTTTATTTAACTGGCTCTTTCCCTCTGATAAACTATGAACTCTTTATGATGGTAACTGTGTATAACTCATCTTTATTTTCCTAAGTCCTGTATGGTTCTTTTAACATAGGAGGCACACAGAAATGTGAGTTCAAGGAACAGTTATAGAGCTGGGCACAGAGGCTCAGACCTGTAATCCTGGCTACTCAGGAGGCTGAGGCAGGAGGATCACTTGAGCCCAGGAATTTGATGCTGCAGTGAGCTACTATTGCACCACTGCGCTGTAGCCTTCCAGCCTGGGTGACAGAGCAAGACCCTGTCTCTTTAAAACAAACAAACAAACAAAAGAACAGTTATAAAAACAGTAGGAGAGCAAAAAAGATATATTTATATGGTGCAAAACTATATCATGTGTGAAATATTAGAGTGTAGTTTTTAGAGTAATTCTCATAAATTAGATTTTATGAGATTTTTACCCTTTTTGATGCTTTGTCTTAAATAGTTACAGTAATTATTTTCAGCATGTTAGGATTTATCTCCAGCAGAGATTGTAGTTTATACTTGACAGTATTTAAACTGGGACTCCTATTGTCATGCCCAAATGTTACTAGATAATTTCCATGTTTCTTCTTCATTTGGCTTTTCACTGTTACCTGAACAAGTATACGTTATGATAGACTCTCCTGCCCGCCCCACCCAACACACACACGGAAACCTCCTCCACCAGGACACACTCACACCTCTAGACCATCAACACCTCCCTTTATTTTCAATCTTCTGCTCTTGTCTATTTTATAACTGTAAAGCCAAAGTACTAATATGCCGGGACTTCGTTTATTCAGTTAGAATTTTTATGCAAGAATTTAAAACACACAGAATAAACAGTTCTGTTTCCCTTTTCTCCCCTCTGATATTTTTTAATATTCCCTTTGGACTATGCCATAGAATAATCCTTCAACCATATTGAGTATTTAAGCATTAAAGTGTCTGTGATTTTAAGAGAGAATGGCTTCTGAAGTTATCATAAAAGCTTTGGCTTTGCAAGACGATGACAGTTCGATACCATGCTGTTATTAATATCTGTCCAGTGACAGTAATTATTGAGATTTTTTTCTAAAAAACATAACACTGGAGACGATAAATAAATGTAGCAGGCTCTGTCTGTTTTTATGTTTGGAAACTTACAGGAAGCACCAGAGGTGTCAGCTCTTAATAGAAGAGTTGGCCAAGTTTCCAATCCTAATGAGTTCTCTTTGAGGAAGTTACATCAGAAGACTCCAATATGACCTTGACCTTGGATATTTGGGGGCATGGGGGAAGAAGCTTCTCTAGCAACTTAGTCAAACTCTATGAAGAAATTAAAGCAGACAGAAAATAGTCATGCTATTAATTGCTTGATAAAGTCACATGGCTCAGGAGACACAGAAGACTTACTGTGGCTCCAAATAATGGCCCACAGATCAATGGGGACCTGAATGAAATCCATGTCTGGTGATGTCAGGCATCACAAACTACTGGAGATATTTGGACCATAGTGATAATGACTACAAAATCATGGGTTCAGGGTGTGTCCAGTTATTTTTCTTGTCTTTCTGACCTAAGATTAGTCTGTTAATTCTAGACACCCATATGCACAAGGTTCCCACTAGTCACCAGGTAGATAGAACAGAACAAATTCATCGTGGATGTATTTTACAGTTTATCACTTAGTAGGTAGGTATAAAGGGAAAAAAATAGGACATGGCAACCATGGCAGATAGATCAAAACTGTAGGTTGGAGGGGTTGTATTTTTCCTTGAACAATGACTGATACTAGACTTCAGTTTACCTAGGCACACAAGATGACTCATGTATAAAGTCCCTGATGGTCTAGTCTTTCATATGAAAGCCTTGATGGAAACCGCTATTTATACTTTTTAACATTATAAATGTTTCTATAGCCAGGTGAAATAAAACAACCTGAGAATCATTTTGAATAGAAAAAAGTGTGTTGTCTTGATGTTTTCATTATGCTGTGCTTAGCGCACTTGACCTCTGTGTTTATTGTGGGTTTTTTTCTTTAGTGGCCTGAGTATCGCCATGGTCGTTAGTTGGATGTTTTTGGTACTCATGAGATTCATAGCTGGACTCATCTTCTGGATTTTCATGTTTGGTGTGCTTGGAATTATAGGCTATGGTAGGTATCACTCACCTTAAAATTGCTAAAAATTAGAATAATCTTTTTGTTTTCAGTTGCTGTTATCAATTACCAGAAAGCATTTACTTGCTGTGGGTTTAATTATTCTTTATCCCAACAAAAGCTTTAAATTTTGAAAAATTATTGTCTCTATAACGTTTTTCTTCTATATCTTGAAAAAAAGTGCCATCAGAATGCTCTGCTCTTTTCCTTACCAGCCTTTGGTCTCATGCCTCCCGGGTCTTAGAAAGGAAGTAAAAAGAAACCTTTTTAGATTAATGAAAAACATTTCAGGCAGTTTCTTTTATTCCTTTAACCTTCCTATCTGATCAAAGGCCAGGTCTGCATACTTACAGAAGTGTGATCAATTTTTCTCTTTCAACTTAGATAGTACTTTTAATCCAGGCACTGTCACAGCTTTTAGTAATTGGTACTCCATGGTGAAGCTTCGCCCTCTAGAGGCAGGTATTCTGAATTACACTCGTTGTGTGGAGAAGAACAGTACTTTATTGCAAGGTTGGAATCTAACCCCTCATTCAATTCCCTCGAAAGCAGTACATATAAGGTATGTACAATGTGAATACTAAACGAATAAAAATGTCTCCCATGGAATATCACTTACAGGAGCTTCCTTTCAGTCTTCTAAAAAAATGTATGGTCTAATATGAATGTTTGAGAGGTTTCTATTAAAAATGATTATTTCTCCTACAATGCCGTTTAGATGGACAACACAGTTTTATGGCAATAGACACCAAAAATAAAAATCTCCTATTTCTATCACTCAAAGAAGAGCTTTATGCATATTAGGGTAAGAATGCAGTTGAATCCCCATGCTGTGTAGTTAGCCTGGGTTCTAATCCAGCTCCATAAGGTACAACCGAGTAACTTTGGAAGTTTCTTAGTGATTATTGGACCTAGTTTCCTTATCTATAACATCAGCACAATAATGGTCTTTCCATCTCAGAAGATTGTAAGGATTAAATGAGACAATGAGTATAAAGCTCTTAGAACAGTGCCTGAAACACAGCAAACAATCAATATGTGTTGGGTCATTGTTATTGTCCTCCTCATTGTCCTCAATGAGTTTCTAGTAAGTCATTGACGTCTTCTCAGGCATTCCTTATCTGCTCCTGCTGTGCAGCTGCTCAGGAATCGCACCTGGGCTTCCTCCTGAGCATAGCCAGGTATCAGATCTAATAGGTGGATCATTCTGGTGGAGGAACACAAGAACTGCCATCCCTTTAATCAGAAACTCCAAAGAAAGCTTTTTGTTTAAATGTCTTGTTTTTGTGTTCCTGCTTGGAGCTCAAAATAACCCCTCCCCTTTTCCACTGGAGAGTTTGGGCATGTGATTCAATCACTATATACTTTTATCAAGAAGTGAAGGGCACTAAAGTCTGCCATTGGCTTCACTGAATTGTCTTAAGCAGCAAGAATAATCTGAGATTGCCTATGGTACAATTTTGACAATGGAAAAGGCGAAAGATGGTCAATATATAAAAAGTGCAGATAAAACAACCAATTTCAGCTCCCTGTTGACTCCCCAGGTAGTGCTAACACAGCAGTTAATGGTGTGACAGGTATTTATTGGGTGAGGAAATGTCCAGTTTGCTTGGAGAGTGTCAGTTACCAGATGTAACTGACCTCTGCTACTATTCTGGACAACTGACTTTCTATATTTCGTGGGAAATCAACCAATTCCTACTGACAGCAGCCCATATACTGGGGCAAAGAACAATGTAGATATGTCATACTGAGCAGAGAAAAAGTCAGGATGCTTTTGGCCAAGTACTCATGTACAGGGATGGAACAATTTTCATTAACCAGAACAAGTTAAGTGATACACAGAAGAGGCCAAAGACACTGTGGTTAGGAGCATGGATTTAAAGGATGAAAAAGGGACAATCCCAGATTTCCCATATGTTAACAATGTGATCCTCTGCAAATATGTAGTCTCTCTTATACACATGTATACCATGTATAAAATGTTTAAATAATTAAAGATAGAATCACAAAAATAGAAAATCAACAAAAATGTCCAGGCATATATGAAGATAAACTGAACAGAACTTTTCAAAATAAAAAAAAATAGATTAAAAATTGATTAAGTTTGGCAAAATACAGAATTAATGGACTGAAATATGAATCTGAAGTAATTACCTAAATTCCAGAAGAATGTGGCAAGGGGGCAAAAATATGATTAGGTGGTTCAGAGAGAGAGAGAGAGAGAATAGGTGGAGAAAGGCCTGATACATATCAGCCATATTTGAAAGTTATTGGCTGAGAATTTTCTAGAACTGATGAAAGAAATATAGGAGTACATTTCCTGTATCCATAGATACAGGAAGCTCAAATTATACCTAGGAGAGTAAGGGAAAAGAAATCCATTTCTAGTCATACATTCTTTTATTCATTCAACAAATATCGAGTGAGTAGTGTGTGCAGGCACTATTTTAGACTCTTGACATGCAAGAGTAAGCAAACAGGCAAAGTTCTTACTCTCTTGAAGCTTATCACCTAAGTAAATTATATGTTAGAGGTGATGATTACTATGGAAAAAAGAAAAATTGGAACAATTAAAGGGGTATTGAGAGTGCCATAACAAGGAGTGATGATCACAGTATTAGTAGGATAGGTCTTTTTGAGAAGAGATCTGAGAAAATACTTGAAGAAGACAATGGACTTAGCCAGTTGAGATAAAGGAAAAGTTCCAGACAGTGGATACAGATAGAGCAAAGGCCCTAAGGTAACAGTGTGTTAAAGAAATGGCTAGAGTGCTGGTGTGGATGGGTATATTGAGTAAAGGAGAAAATAGCAGATGAGGTCATAGAATTTTGGGAGGTCCAGAGCTTTGTAGAATGTTGTAAAACCTAGGCTTTTACTCTGAGTAAAACAGGGAGTCATTGTAAGGTTTTGAGCAGAAGAGATATGTGACGTGGTGATTGCTCCAGTCTGTGTTGAAAATAGACTATAGCGGGGCAAGAGTAGAAGCAATAGGACCAGTGAGGAGGCTATTGCCATAGTCCATGTAACAAATGAGGGAAGCTCAAACCAAGGGTGTAGCAATGAAGATGGTCATACATATTTTTAACGTATAATCAGCTGTATTTCCTGACGGATTGAATGTAGCTGTGGGAGAGAGTAAGGAGAAGAAGGAAAATGATTCAATAAAAACATATGACATGTAAGAAAGGATGGTGAACGAAAATAAATTAGTAAACATGTAGGTAAAGCTAAACTAACTTTTCCTGTATAAAGTAATAATAATGTCCAATTTTGGGGATTAAAGGTGTACATTAACTAAATTATTGAGCAGTAATCAGAGTGGGATGATTATTGAGTGATCTAAAATCCAGGCCAGCCACAGTGTCTCATGCCTCTAATGCTAGCACTCTGGGAGGCCGAGGCGGGAAGATTGCTTGAGCTCAGGAGACTGAGATCCTGTCTCTACAAAAATTAGAAAAATTAGCCAGCGTGGTGCACCTGTGGTCCAGCTATTGGGGAGGCTGAAGCAGGAGGACCACTTGAGCCCAAAAGTTGCAGTGAGCTATGATGATGCCACTGTTCCCTAGCTGGAGTGAAAGAGCAGAGTCTCTCAAAAACAAAATGAAACAAAGCAAAACAGAATTCTATTTCTTTGTTAAAGTATTTTAAACTTGATTATTAAGTACACACATAGCAAATTTTCAAGGGTAATCTATTACAAAAATAGATAACTCTAAGTTAGTAGAGAAGAAAAATGGAATATAAGTAAACAAAACTCATCAATTTTTAAAAGACAAGAATCAGAAGAAAATTACTGTAGGTGCAAAAAAGAACAGGACAAGCAAAAGTGAGAAGGTAGAAACAAATATAAATACATCAATACATTAACTATAATGATTTAAACTCACCAATTAGAATACAGAGATTGTCAGGTCAGATTAAAATATATACATACAAATTGGAGCTGTATGTTATTTATAAAAGTTACACAACACATAAGGAGATAGAATCTTTGAAAGTAAAGGGATTGGCTAGGCATGGTGGCTCATGCCTGTAATCCTAGCACTTTGGGAGGGTGAGGGGGAAGAATCGCTTGTAGCCAGGAGTTCAAGACCAGCCTGAACAAATGGTGAGACCCTGTCTCTACAAAATATTTTTAAAAAGTAAAAATATATATATACTGGAAATCATTAACAAAGGAAAACCGCAGAAGCAGTAATAATATCAGACAAAATAGGTTTTAGAGTTCACTAAAAAAGTTACAATTCTAAACTTGTATGCATCTATTAAGATGGCCTCAAGATTCATAGAACTGCAAGGATAAGTAAATAAGCCAACAGATAATAATTGGCATTGGGTATAAATCTCCCTTAGGGAGAAATTTCAACACATCAATCTACTGGACAAATATACTGTAATGTATCTAACCAATCTCTACTGATAGACCTTAAGATTGTTTCTAGGCAAAAGGATATTTAAAGCCGGATGTTGCCACAGTCATCCAGGCAAATACTGAAAATATTTATATCAAATACAGTAACACATTTAGACTATTAGGGACAAATAAAATATTTACTGTGTAAATGTGTATCTTTGTAGAAATGACCATAATGATCAGTTTCATGTAGATATATTTGATAAGCACATAGCTTCTATTTCAGAAAATAATACTTTATATTAGTCTATTTTTCTTTTTTTTTTCAAGGAATATGGTACTGTTTCCAGCAATACAGCATTCTTCAGGAACATCCAAATTCTACATTATCTATATATGACATCGGGATTCAGACTAATATAAGCCTGTACTTTCAACTGCAACAAACATGGTTCACACTTAGTGAGTAGATTTTAAAGACTGGTTTTGTCAAAATTTTAATAATGTGAAAGTATATTTTTGCTTAAAGGAAAGCTTGGATTGGTGTAACCTGTTAAATACACTTATTGCTAATGCCATACAAGGTAATAATATGTCCATAGTCCTCCAGCTATAGTAAATTTATTGTATAATCTAAGAAAATACTGCTTTACAATGATCTCAAGCCATTTTGCCTTCAACTTAACATTATTTGGTTGTGGACATTTATAGACATTAACCTGATGTCTAAGAAAGACATTTCAAGAGAAGCAAATGCTTGATTTTTCAAACTCGTTTTTAAAAAGGAAAAAGAAACTTTTTTTCATAACAAGACATTTTAACTATTGTAGAAATTGTAAGTAATAAGTAACTGAAAGTAAATTTACATTTTTAAAAGGTTTACCCAAACTACTGTATATGTTGGGGTAATATTAACAACAACAAAAAAATTTTTTTTTTGAGACACAGTCTCACTGTTTCCCAGGCTAGAGTGCTGTGGCATCAGCTTAGCTCACAGCAACCTCAAACTCCTGGTCTCAAGCAATCTTTCTGCCTCAGCCTCCCTAATAGCTGGGACTACAGGCATTTGCCACCATGTCTTGCTAATTTTTTCTATATATTTTTAGTTGGCCAATTAATTTGTTTCTATTTTTAATAGAGACAGAGATGGGGTCTCGCTCTTGCTCAGGCTGGTTTCCAACTCCTGACCTTGAGTGATCCACCCGCCTGCCTCGGCCTCCCAGAGTGCTAGGATTACAGGCATGAGCCACTGTGCCCTTCCTAAACAAAAATTTTAAAGCAAAATGACTTCAGAGATGGTTATAATCTCATATTCGTAGAATGGCTTTATTATAATATTCCTTGCACTTGACAGATTTGTGTTCTTTAATGAAGATTTTTAAAATAATCTCTAATTACATGTTGCTTTTAAAAAGTCACCTTTTTAGTATGGAAGTTAAAGAGCCAGGTGAGACATATTCCAGGAAGCCTGGTAAGGAGCCGGGAAAGAATCTCAGATGGGGGCAATATCTTGCTGGGGTATCATGATTCCAGGCATGGGTCCCATCCCATAAATTTGAAAACTTGATTTTGCTGCTACATTCAAGAATCCTCAGGCTTTCAAAGACAAGTTCATGTTATGTCACCAGAGTGCCATTTTATTTGTTTGTACCATTAGAATGCTCTCTTGATGACCAAAATGCAAACGTATCACATCTACGACACTCATGTCCTGGGATCCAAGCATATGGGGAGCAAGATTACCAACCAGGGGATTTTTAAGCAAAGGGGTTTGGAAAGCCTTGGGGATGTTTTCTCCAGGCTGATGCAACCTTGATAACCTAGCTATGCAGCCCGGATGTCCCCACCAGATTCCTTTTGTCTGCCAAATTTAGTTTTTCTCTTTTCCTTAAGTAATACTGGATTAAAATGCCAAATTCTTTCTCTTTGGCTTCCCATTGCTAGCCCTTATGCAGACTAGTACACTTCACTTATATTATTTTTTCAAACATGTTGCAGAAGTACTGTTACATTTATAGCTTTTTCTTTTTAACTACAAAAGTCAGGTATCTTGGGAATTGCATCCCCCTCTTTTTTCCTGAATTTGAGTGATTCTACATCTCTAGCAATTCACTTACTCTTATCTATCATCTCTAAAGTTGATAAAATTTTACCCATTATATATTGAAACCTCTAGTTTTACTCTTGAATGGATCTTAGTCACAGGTTCAGTGGTCACCTCCTGCTGTCCTGTAAGACCCTTCCACACAAAAATCATTGAGATAATCAGAATCTGCCATTGGAACAATGAAGAGATGTACTTTTAGGAAAATACAAAACTTATTAAAATTTTCTAATCTAGCAATACCAATCACTCCTCAAATAAGCCTCAGCTTTCATAACTAATATATCAGACATGAATTTTTTAAGCTAATTCTTCTATAATAACACTTAACTTAAAACACACATTGTACAGCTATATAAAAATATTTTCTTTCTTCATATTCCATAAGCACTTCTCTATTTTTCAAATTTATTTTTATTTTTTAAACTTTTTGGCTAAAATCTAAGACACAAACACACACATTAGCCTAGGGCTACACAGGGTCAGGATCATCAATATCATTGTCTTCCACCTCCACATCTTTTCCCACTGGAAGGTCTTCAGGGGCAATAACATGCCTGTTTCTCTCATCTCCTATGATAATACAGCCTTCTGGAATACCTCTTGAAGGACCTGCCTGAGGCTGTTTTATAGAAAACTTACTTTTTTTAATAAGTAGAAGGAGTACACTCAAAAATAACTTTTTAATTAAAAAATAGAATATAGTAAACACATAAACCAGTAGTCATTTATCATCATTATGAAGCATTATGTACTATACATAATTATATGTGCTATACTTTAATATGACTGTCAGCACAATAGATTTGTTTATACCAACATCACCATAAACATGCAAGTAATGCTACAGTGGTTATGACATCACTGGGCCATAGGAATTTTTCAGCTCCATCATAATCTTATGCGAGCACTGTTGTATATGCAGTCCATCAACTGAAGTGTCGTTATGTAGCACATTATTGTGTATAAGTTAAAAAAAACAGTTAAATTTATCTAATATCACCATTTTAAATACACAATTTTATAAAGGTAGCATTTTAATATACAATATTTTTAGCAATGCAATTTCAGAATTTAAAGTGACTCTGATATGTTTTATTTTCTTAGGTTGTCCAAAGAAAATAAGGATTTTCATATAATGCAGCTATATTCTACAATTTTGGACTCAAATTAGTATTTTATAATAAAAGAATAAAATGGGCATAAAAACATAAGCACATAGTTTAACTATAATAAAAGAAGGTGTAGAAACATGAAGATACATTATTAAGATCCTCCCAAAGTTCTGGGTTAACTGATTTCTACTTTCTTGGAGATATTAACCAATATGTGATATAATATCAGAATTTTAGTGGTATAACAATAGAATGAAATAATGATCTCTCCATTAGTGGAAATATTGAAGCCTGAGAATAATAACCATCCAGCAAGGAGGTTATAAAAAGATTCCTTCATTGGTGGAAATTTAAGTTTCCATTAAGTTTCTTTTATACTTTCAGATTCTGTATTGGTAATACCATATTTTCTTGATTTTAATATCAACACCTTTTCACTTTTTAACATTTCTAAAATCAGGATGCATCTTAAAATATTATTGAATAGACATTTAATTAAGGATTTCTTTACTTTTTCTAAAAACTTAGTACTAAATTAAAGGTGTGTCTTAAAATTGAGGAAATATAACAGTTGATACTATTTGGCTTCAAGTTAAAAAAAAACTAATTCAAGCTAGTTGAAGAATAAAGAAAATTGGAGCAGGCTGAGGGCAGAGCAGGGGATGTTTACTATAAAAATATAGATGTGTCTCAGCAAACTAAAAAAACAGAAAGGTAACTAGTCTTTCAAGTTCACCTGGAAACATGAAACAAACAGCCAAAAAGAACCTAAGATTTCCTCTTCTTGTTGTCTGTCTTTAAACACATACAGTTTATTCGTTGGAGATTCACTCACTTCACATTAAGATGGTTTGACACATTTTGTGTAATGCTCACTACAAGGTTTATAAACTTTGATTCAAAACTAAACTAGGAGCGGGCATGGTGGCTCACATCTGTAATGCTAACACTTTGGTAGGCTGACGCAGGAAATTGCTTGAGGCCAGGAGTTTGAAATCAGCCTGGGCAATATTGAAACCCCATCTCTACAAAAAACTTTTTAAAAATTAGCCAGGCATGATAGTGTGCGCCTATAGTCCCAGCTACTCTGGAGACTGAGACAGGAGGATGGCTTGAGCCCAGGAATTGGAGGTTACAGTGAGCTGTGATGGCACCACTACACTCCAGGCTGGGTGAGAGAGTGAGACCCTGTCCCAAGGAGAAAAGGGGAGGGGAGGGGAGGGGAGAGGAGGGGAGAAGAGAAGAGAAGAGAAGCGAAGCGAAGCGAAGCGAAGAGAAGAGAAGACTAAACTAGTTTCTCTTAGTTTTAATTCTTAGACTTTTATTGGCTAAGAGGTGTTGAGTTTACACTGTGATTCCATCAGTGGTGGCCACCATGGTGGGTGGAGTCACTAAATAAAAACAGGATGGCCAAGAGCCTGCCCTATTAATCAGCAAGGACAATTAAGAGGTATTGCGAGCAAGGCAGGCAGCCCTTTCTTGCTTCAATGTCTAATGTCTAATTTCTATAAGTGGTGTGAAATGTTTTTATGGATGAAATGAAGCCTGTCCAATTGAGATGTTCAAGTTTTAGCTAAAGGTTTTAACCTGTATTCCTTAGCATTTCTTGGAGGTTTTGAAAGTGAATTTCTAAGATGGGCACTTTTGAAGAGGTAGCACTGCTTAAATGATGAGGTGTCGGAATTGACAGAAATAATAGTAAAGCTCAGTTCTAAATTTTGCAGAGAAAGTTTGTTTTTATGTATTGATTTGTATTACAGACTGATTTTTTTTCCTGTTCAAAGTGATAATACTGTCCATCATTGAAGCATCTGTCATCCTCCTGCTGATCTTCCTCAGGAATCGAATCCGTATCGCCATTTTCCTGCTGAAGGAAGGGAGCAAGTAAGGCCCTTAATGTAGAAACTCAGATAATGAATATCAGTCAGTAAAGTCAGTCACTGTCTATTGCATAGATATCCCAGACTATTTTCCCTTTTAGAAGACTAGTTAAAGAAAACTATTTTCCATTCAAGAAGACTTGTTTAAGTTCGAGGCTGCCACTTATTAGAAAGGTCATTGCTAACAAGTCCTTTAATATCCCCAATCTCAGTTATCATAGGGTAAAATAAGTATAAAACCTGTCTAGTTTATGTATTTGCATTTTTTGAACACCAAATGTATGTTAGTAAAATTACATATGTGAAAGTAAGTGATAAAGTGCTATGAAAAAGTTAGCTATATTACATATTATTTCCATACTGTTATATCATGTGTTAATATTAATGGTTGAAATCACTTATATGACTTTAAATCACCATAATTCTATAAAGTCAATTATGTGCTATTACCACTTCTGTATGAGAGACAAAATTTTCTAATAGGACAATTGATTCTAGCAACACCAGACTATATATTTTATATCTAAAGCTCATAATTCTGGAACATTTTATACCCAGAGCCATTTTTATTTAAAAAATATTACCAAATAAACACTAAATCTTTCATAAAATTCATGCTGAGATGTAATAACACCTATAGTTTCCCAACCATTCCAAAAGGTCACTCAAGGAAAATACTCTAAACTTTTTAAAAATGCATGGAAGAAACAAGGAAAGCAGTATTATAAAGCCAATAGATCATTCTATTTATTAATAGAATGATGGAAACTAAGTTGTTAATGGCCCATAACCAAATTATTTTTAATAGTATTTAAGGATTTTTTAAACAAAATTACCATATTATTACTAAATAATAATAGACCCCCCTGAAGCCAGTGGTTTAAACAGTTAACAAGCAGTTAAACTCTCTCTCCTTCCCACAATGACTGAAGCCCTATCATTAGCCGCTGAAAAGTAGTGATTTGCTGGGTTTATTTCTTAAATAGTATGTATAATATTGTGCATTTCACTGTAACTTGCCCTACTTGTTATGCCCCGAAATATGCACGTGTGTGAACGTGTGTGTGTGTGTGTGTGTGTGTGTGTGTGTGTGTGTGTTAAAGGGCCAATACAACTGCAGCAGGTTGATAGTTTTCTCCGGGGACAATAAGAACTGAAATAAATAGGTGTAGGATTATAGAGTAGACCTAAGGACACTCAATAATTCACTTCACAACAGTGTGTGGATAAAGGAGAAAGCAGCATAGCTCAAATAGGTGACAAAGGTAACCCATCCAAAAGAAATCTAAGTGTCAGGGCATTAGGAGTGGTAAGAGTTTCATCTTATTTCTCAGAGGCTATGGCGAACAATATTTGCTTAATCCAGTGTCATATGCTGAAAAGATCATTTAAAAGAAGTAGTTAGGAACAGTGCGACTAGGATGGTGATCATTTCATAAACCATGTCCTATGTGGCAATAAAGAAATGATTATCCTGGAGGAAGAAAAACTAAGGAGTTACCCAAAGGATTGCTATGTGGAAAAGATGGTAAAATGGTCATTTCTTCCCCAGAAGTTAGTGGATGTAAGTTACAGGGAGGCAGATAAGGAAAAAATTTCAGGTATTTGTTAAAACAATGGAATAAGCTGTGTCGGGTAAAAGTAAGTTCCCATCATCAGTGAGTACATTTGAAGACAGTATAGAAGAGATTCCAGAATTAGGGAGGCATTGCCACAGTTTAACACATGATCTTCAAGGTCTTCTTCAATTTTAAAAGTCTAAGAATCTAAACAAAAGGAAGAAATCTCATGATTAATAATGTATCAAATCTTTATATGTCAGACAGAAATAACCAAAGAGAGGAGAATTTGGGGGACTTTGGGCAGGAATCAAATGTGAGCATTGGAAAATTTCCCCGATTTACTTTTAAATAAGTAAATGAATACATAAAAATTATTATAAAAACCAACTAAGAATATGCCAGAATGATCAGCAAAAAAAGATTCAATGGTTATTACTACTACTCTTAGAATTAATTCAGTCTAAGGCTTATTTCTAGCTCTAAGACATAAAAGTTTAATTGAGAAAGTACAACTGATTCAAACATCATTTTGAATTTCAACTGTTTGTTTTATTTCAGAGCCATCGGACACATCCCTAGTACATTAATTTATCCATTTTTAACTTTCATTTTGCTCTCAATCTGCATTTCCTACTGGGTGGTGACAGCAATGTATCCTTTGGTAACTGACCTCTTTAAACCTTGGAGCTTCATTACTATTCAGGAACCAGGAGTTTGTGTCCAGTGTTTTCTATCCTTGGAAAGATTAGGAATGTCCAAAAGAAAACTGGATTTTTTTTTTCTAAGCTCTAAAAATGTTTCAGTTTACTGATTGCATTTCCATTGTAGTAGGTCATATGGTATATTTGTTTCATTTTGTTTTCTTATATGATGCTTCTCCTTGGCAAGGAGGTTCCTGTGTATTTCCCTGTTTTTAAGGGGTCACTCAGTGCAGCTGGCCCATGTTACATTAATTTAGGCCTGAAGATGGATGCATGTTATTAAAATATTAGAAGTTTTTTGAAGTTAATCTCTCCCTGGACTCTTGAGTTATCTGTATTATTTTCTTGTCCATTTATTTTCAACCTACCAGCAAATAGTTTATCCTTAGTGCAACTCATTCAGTTTCTTGGCTACATCAGGGGTGCCTATATACAAAGTGATAGCCCCTGAGGGGCAATGTATACATGAAAATAAAACCTGTGACCCAGAGGTAAGTAAAAGAAACTCTTTCATATACTTACTTTAATATAGAATTCTGCATTTCTGCATTTCCTCTTGCTGTTTTTTTTGGAATTGTCCTGAAGCAGAAATTGCAGCACTGATGGGAATCACTGTTTGCCATAGGGGAGGGTGGGTCAGGAGAGCATTGAAAACAATGGGCAGAATGGAGAGAAGGTACTATAATTATTTCCTGAGCTTGCTTATCTTACCATATACCCAAGAAGTAGGTATGGTCAACAACAACACTAAAAAATGTGAAATTTTAGTGGGTGCAGAGTGATATGCAATGATGGAAAATAGGATACTTTCCAGAACTCATTAAAGAATTATATAAAGTGATGTGATAGAAAATGTACAGCAAAAGCTAATGCAGAAAAAACAGGACATGCAATTGGTGGGCTAAAAAAGAAGAAAAGGCAGGGAGGTGTTATCTTGCAATGATATTTAATATTATATTCTTCTGGTTTTTTTTTTTTTTTTTCTTTCTGAGTACAGATTTTTAATACATCTGAAATTGCCAAAGCTTGCCCTGGAGCTCTGTGTAACTTTGCTTTCTATGGTGGAAAGACCTTGTACCATCAATACATCCCCGCCTTCCATGTATACAATCTATTTGTCTTTCTCTGGCTTATAAACTTTGTCATTGCACTGGGTCAATGTACCCTTGCTGGTGCTTTCGCTGCTTATTACTGGGCCGCAAAGAAACCTGATGACATCCCACCCCATCCACTTTTGACTTCATTTGGACGAGCCACACGGTAAGCTCTGTGTTAAACCTGATCTCAGTTATATTTAGTGTCCTTGTAACTCAGTCTTGGATAGTTAATTCAAGTGTCAAGATACCAATGAGGCTGAAGGCATGATCCAAGATTCATGGATGCCCACTGGTTCTACCTGGTTTTGTAGCCACAGTTTTTACAATCCCTACCCAGGCCAGTATACTTCTAAATGCCATAGGTGAGGGGAAGAAGTAGAGGTGGCCACCAAATTAAAGATCGAGGATTAACTAGGCCCTATTATTTCCAGTGATCAGCTCAAACATCCTATTATATGACGACAGGCTGTTGGTATCCTTCATGTTGCTGATAAGCAATACAGATGTATATGGTTTAAAATCCTCTATGATACCTTTATCAATCTGAATAAAAGTGTACAAAAAGCTCTTTCCCATTAATCCTTCTTCAGATCCCTTTTACCTTGAAAATTGTTCAACTAGCATCCTTTTAGTTAATGGTAAAGATACTTTAACTTTTTTCTCATTTTATTTTTGCCCAGATATCACACAGGATCTCTAGCATTTGGATCTTTAATTCTTGCATCAATTCAAATGCTTAAAATGGTTCTGCAGTACGTGGACAAACGTCTTAAAAGTAAGATTAAAAAATTTATCTCAGACTTCCCGACCCCTGTGAAGAGAATAGACTGGGGCAGGGCGTGGGGGGAGACATGATGACTGCAACTTAGACTAGGGCAGTAAGGATGGAAAGAGGCAGGTTTGGATATGTTCTGAAGGAAACTCCAACAGAACTTGCTGAGGGAGTGGATGATGGTAGAGAAGAAAAGAGAGAAAATGTACATTATCCCATTTATAAGATGTGGAAGCCAGGAAAAACAAATTGCAAAAAGGAGGTTAAGAATTCTATTTTGACATGTTATTATTGAGAAGCATGCTGGAGATGTCAGGTAGGCAGTTCTAAGTTGAGAACTCAGGTCAGGTTAAGCTTAAAATATAAATGTAGATGCCATTGGCTTAAGTCTTCATACATAATGCATATATATTTTACAAACACATAAATTCTGCTTAAGAGTCACCTTACAAGAGTTTTTTATTAATAGCCAAAACAGTCTTGAGAAAAACAGCAAAGTTGGAGGACTCATACTTCCTGATTTTGAAATTTATCACAAAGCTACAGCAATCAAAACAGTGTGGTATGGGCATAAGGAAGGACATACAGACCTGGAAAAGAATGAGATCCCAGAAATAAAACCTCACATATAATACCATTTGATGGGAAAGGTCAGTCTTTTCTACTAATGGTGCTGGGAAAACTGGATATTCACATGCAAAAGAGTAAAGTTGGATTCTTACCTTATACCACATATAAAAATTAAGCCAAAATAGATCAAATACCTAAACATAAGAGCTAAGACTATAAAACTCATAGAGGAAACATAGGAAGAAATCTTCATGATATTGGATTGGATGATGATTTCTTGGATATCACACCAAAAACATAGGTAACAAAATAAAAAATAAATTGAACTCCATCAAAATTAAAAACATGTGTGCTTCAAAAGAAAAGGACACTATCAAGAGAGTGAAAAGACAGTGCACATAATGGAAGAAAATATTTGCAAATCACATACCATTAAGGGATTAATATCCAGAGTGTATACAACTCAACAGCAAACAAGTAGGCACCCCAGTTCAAAAATGGGCAAAGAAGTTTAATGAACATTTCTACAAATAAGACATACAAGTGGCCAATAAGGACATGAAAAGATGCTCAATGTCACTAGTCGTTACAGAAATGCAAATCAAAACCACAAAGAAAATACCACTTCATACCCATTAGAATGATTATTATTAAAAAAAAAAAAAAACAGAAAATAACAAGTGATAATGAGGGTGCTGAAAATCTGGATCTCTTGTGTCTTGCTGGTAGAAAGGTAAAATAATGTAATCACTGTGGGAAACAGTATGGCCATTCCTTAAAAAGTTAAAAATGGAATTTCTCTGTATGAACCAGAAATTTCACTTCTAGATATATATTTAAAAGAATGAAAGCAGGAACACAGATACTTGCACACCAATGTTCCCAGAAGCATTATTCACAATAGCCAAGAGGTGGAAACAACCCAAATTTTCACCAACAGATAATGGATAAATAAATTTATATTCATAAAATGGAATATTATTCAGCCTTAGAAAGGGATGAAATGATGAATGTTGAAATATGCTAAGTTAAATAAGCAAGATACAAAGATAAATATTATGTGATTACTCTTATATGAGGTACCTAGAAGAGGCAAATTCATACAAGACAGAAGTATAATAGAGGTTACTAGGATGCAGGGGAATGGGGAATGAGGAGTTACTGTTGAATGGGTATAGAATTTCTATTTGGAATGACAAAAATTCTGGAAATAGATAGTGGTGATGGTTGCACAACATTGTAAATGTAGTCCATACCATTGAATTGTACAATTAAAAATGGTTAAAATGGCAAATTTTATATTATGCACATTTTACCACAATAAAAATTTTAAAGCCCATTTTAAGTATTTTGTTATTTATTTTGATTCATAGGGTTCAGTTGCAATTATTAATAGATTTACATCCCTCTTTTTCATAGATGCTCAAAACAAGTTTTCTAAATTGCTACAATGCTGCCTGAAATGCTGTTTCTGGTGTTTAGAAAAAGTAGTAAAGTTTTTAAACAGAAATGCCTATATTATGGTAAGTAGATTATTTTTTATATACTAAGCTCTTTCTTTGCAAACCCAAATGCCACATATAAAGCACTTTTCTAAAGCACTTTTACCTCATGTAGTGCCAATTCATGATTTAGGGCTATGCTTCCCTGGTTGTGATAGTGTCTGAACTATACTCCATTGTTACCCTCAATATCTTTTTTGAAAGGGAAAATATTGACATTGAAAAATTTAAAGTGTGTTACATTGAAAATGGTTTTGTGTCTTTGACATAGTTTAGTGGAGGAACTCTTGCTTACTCTGTGTTCCCCTCTGAGAAGAAAATGTCTTTCTAATTCGGATTTACATAATTTTAAGAAGGGACTGATCATTTTATAACTTTTGTGTTGAAACATGTGGGCATTGGCATTGCTCGACTAAATATTTATGTATTCCCTGTGGGAATATGGAGACTTCTTAATAAATTTTTTCAAATAAAGGATCCAGAAATATAACTCTTGTAAAATTTAGAAGCTAAAGAACAACCTTATAACACCTGCTTATTATCACAGTGACACAGGGTGTGAAAAGCAATTCAAATAGTCATTAATTTACCTCCAGTGAGAGTATTGTGTTGAGCTTTTTTATCAGTCAGTCAAATGTAGGGAAAAGCATTGAGTTTCCTTAACAATAATTTTTAATGTAGAGACTACAATATTTAACCCATTCAGCAACAAACTCTAGCCAAAACATTTCAAAGATAGAAGTCACTACGTGAGATTTGAGAACAAGACCTGCCTCTGTTTGTGGCTGTCTCATTCCCCCAAAATTTAAGGGTACATGGCATCTGAAACACACCTTCGTGTCAATGACCCTGAGAGTTATACAATGTTGAAGACACACAGTTCCCAGGCCTCCCACAAACCCAAATGTTGGAAGGAGGAATGGTGATAGCTGTATGAATAACAGGAATTGAGTTGGTTATTTTCCTGTCACTGGATTTCCCTTTGGTCTTGTCAGGGTATGTTACTGACTCCAGAATAATATCAATTGTCTTCCTCAGATTGCAATATATGGCAGAAACTTCTGCAGGTCAGCAAGAGATGCTTTCAATTTGCTGATGAGAAACATTTTAAAGTGAGTAATCAGGTTGAACACTGCAATGAATAATTTGGTGAACCTGTAGCATTACATTCATCACATGTTACAAGTGTTGATAATACTATTAGACATGAATATTATCTTTTAATATGATAGATTTAAATCTTCTCTCTCACACCATTAATTTCTTTTCATAGCTTAGAATTTTTGCTTTCATCATCCACCTATGTCTTGATAACCACTGGCATTTATTCATTTTTATTATCCCTTCTGCTCAGAAATTCCCCAGATGAACTACATTATCATCTTCTCCCTGGCCATTTCCTCCCCAAAAAATTGATGGAGGCTGAGTGAACAAAATCAGAGAACAAATGTAGCATCCTCAGGGTGTCTTTAGGCCTCCAATTAGAGAGAGAGAGGCTGACACAAACCATTGCAGGGCACTCAAAGGCCTGCAATGTGATCTTCTGTTTACTTCACTAAAAATAAGTCAGAACTTCATCCCTGGATTTTACCTTCAATTTTTGTGAAACAATTGCCAAATAAAATTTCAGCAGAAACACATCAGGATGAAGTCATGAATATTGACTGCCATAAATTTCAAGTAACAAGTATATTTTAAACACAAGATTATACTTTCTTTTTTTTCTGATACTCAGAGTTGCAGTTACAGATGAAGTTACATACTTTGTATTATTCCTGGGGAAAATTCTAATATCTGGGAGTATGGGTAAGTAATAATGATAAAAATAATAATAATAATAATAATAATAATAATAATAAAAAGTTCAAAAGATGCTTGTAAAAACTGCTTTACTCAAAAAAGCTATATTCCTTTGCAAATGTGTAATATACATGTTCTGCCTTTGCAATGTAGGTATTCTGGCCTTCCTGTTCTTCACACGGAAAATGCCAATGATTGAAGTGGGACCAACATCTTTAAATTACTACTGGGTACCTTTGCTGGTAAGAGCTTATGTCTAAGGCAGTTTGGGTTGCTCTAACAAAGATACTGTAGACTGAGAAGCTTAAACAACAGAAATTTATTCCTAGTGGTTCTGAAGGCTGAGAGTTCCAAGGTCAAGGTGCCAGCTGCTTTGGTTCCTGATGAGGGCCCTCTTCCTGGTGTACAGCGGGACACTTTCCTATATCCTTGCGTGGTGGAGAAAGAGAGAGATCATCTCTCCCATGTCTCTTCCTATAAGGGCACTTATCTCACCCTTAGGCCCTAATTACCTCCCAAAGGCCCCATCTTCAAATCACATTGGGGATTAAGGCTTCAACTTACAAATTTTGGGGGGACACAATTCACTCCATAGCAGATGGATATTGTTGACTCTATGATTTATCAGAGATAGCAAAACAAAAAGGAATAGGAGAAATGATAATGATAGCAACCCCCATTCCACTTTAGAGACTGGGGTTCCTTGGAAACAACCAGACAAAGGGTTGCATGCAGAAGGTTTGTCAGGAAGGTCTCTCCTGGGTTACATTTGTAAGGAAGTGAGGCGGGCAGGACAGAGCGGCAGGAGAAGCTGACCCATGCTGCAGTTACAGCAGAGGCCTCAGAATTACAGAAAGTTCTGGCAAAGGGGCTGGGCCTTTGGAGGCTGCATCAGGCAGCTGTTGGCTTATGAGCTGACCCCAAGATGGGGCTGTAACCTTGGGTGAGGCAGTTCCCTGCAGGGAGGGCAATTCTTAGTGAGGGAAGCAGCTGAGTCTTTAGCAGCCTACATTCCCAACAGCTGGGGAAGGAGCCCTGTGGTATCCAGTACAGTATATTAACTCACCGAATCCAGATCTCATAAATGCTGTTATTACTCACATCTCCTCTCCCCCATGCCAGTTTTATATAGGCAGCACAGAGAAGTTAATTTACTTATTGAGTGCCTGAGCTGTAATTCAAACTCTGGCAATATGTGCTCTTAACTCCCAATGCTTTACTGCCTATGTGTGCAGGATCCTAAAACGGGGATATTTTTGATAGGCACTAGGGCTGGCGGTAAGAAAGTGGCCAGGTAATTTAATACATTTTGTTTAAATCTCAGCACAAAACACACAAAAGAAAATTATCATTGAAATTTTTGTTCTCTATATTGAAATCTTTTCTAACACAGAGTATTTCAGAACTTTCTCATGGTGACTTTCATGACAGCTGCATTATTGTTCTTCTGAACAACGTAAATGACACGGTTCTCTTCTTTAACCGTTTGCAGACTGTCACTTTGGGGTCTTACCTGATTGCCCATGGGTTCTTCAGCGTCTATGCAATGTGTGTTGAAACAATTTTCCTCTGCTTCTGTAAGTAGTCAGTGTGTGTTTCCCTCTTCCGTGGATAACTGAAAGATGAGAAGGTGAAGACTGGCGTCCTTAGCTGGCTTGTGAATTTGCTGTTACCCAGCTATAACTGCAAAATAGTGTTTATGTGGAAGGACATATTGCTTAGAAGATGCTCTTTAAACCTTAACAGTTGAGAAATAAGCCAGACATGGAGACAAATACTTCATGATCTCACTTACATGTGGAATCTAAAAATGTCAAATTCATAAAAAGAGAGAGGAGAAAGGTGATGACCATGAGACGATGTTGGTCAAAGGATATAAACTGCCAATTACACAGGCTGAATAAACTATGGAAATCTGATGCATAGCATCGTGACTATAGTTAATATTATATTATTTACTTGACATTTGTGAAGAGAGTGCATCTTAGGTATTCTTACCACACACGCAAAAAGATAACTATGTGAGGTGATGAGTATGTTAATTAGCTTGATTTTGGTAATCATTTCACAATGTATGCATATATCAAAACATTGTACACTGTAAATATATATAATTTTTACTTGTCAATTACACATAATAAAGCTGAAGAAAAAAATTATACTTCACAAAAGCTTGGGGCAAAATACAACATTACAAAAGAAAAAAAAAAACCAGAAACCCTTAACAGCTGAGAGAATGGAGTTTGCAAAGCACGAAAGTGTCAACTATTAAAATGAATTTAAAAGCATGCTTTTAAATGTATAATAATCATTGGCTTCTGTTGTGCTTTGTTAACAGAACTGAGAATGTAACTGAACCTTAGGACCTGGGTTTTGGGAATTCTTTGAGTACAGCATTTATAGATTCCCATAAAGCCAAGATGGCAATGGTTTCAAAGACACATAGGGCCAATTTACACTATATAACATGATGACAGATGGATAGGATTCAGAGAAGAGCATGTCTAGGAAGTGGCTGGACCAATTTAGATACACAGACCTAAAGTACATCTTTAGAGCTTTCATCACTGACGTGTACACCATGCACCATGAGGCATATGCAGCTCACATACACAGAATGGACGTGCCTCATCCCAAAAGTCCTGGAGAACCTAGTGCTCCTCGGGAGCTTAATTTGGCCCTCACCTTCAGTGTCACCTCTTTGGCAAACCTGGAGAAGGTACAGCCAGCAGATCAAAGAACATGACTTGTTATCTGTACAACTACACAGCCTGAGAGATTATTTCTTTGGCACATCACTCTTAAGAGAAACAAACAAACAAAAACAACCCTTATTCTCTCACAGGGCATTACTGAGCAATCTGCTGAGCAAGCTAACAGTTTATTTTTTATTTTCAACCTTACACTGGGGTCAGGAAAGGAGATAAGAAACTATAGGGAGATATATTCAAAGAAAAAGTTCCTAGAAAATAGTCTGATCTTATTATTATTTTCTTTCTGAACATGTTAAAATCAATTTTCAATAACTAGACAAAAAAATCAGGAGAACTTTCTGTCCTAGTTAGCTCTTCCGCTGGCTGTAAATGGAACTAGAATGTTTATTCCCAGCAACTTGGTGATTTGTTAAGAAAATCCATCTACAAAATATCACATGAGCAAACTCTCCAGTTCAGGTATGGGGTGGAAGAGCCAGCCTGGGAGTAACATAGTACAAAGACGTAGTGGGCACAGAGCTCTGGAATGTTAAGATGTCTTCTCTCATCCCACATGCTAATCATAGGGGCGATACTTGGAGATCCCTCTGTGATCTTCCCCACTCATGTAACTGAAAATATTTCTTAAAGTTTGTCTCAGGAAATGTCTAGGACCTACTTGTTTCTGGGCTTTGGAAGCTTTGGCTAATTGTGTAGATTTTAAATTTGGCAATGGATTTTCAATTTGAGCAGTAAGAAAGGTTTTCCACATTTATTAATCAATTGCCAACTCCTTGAAAGCTGGATATAATATCAGCATTATTCAATACATTGTGTGTTGACATGAATAGTTTCCTTTCAGAGACTCTTGTCCTCCACAACAAACAACAAGGGAAACCATGTTTTATCTTTCTTCCTTCCCCAGCTATTACTATGGGCAACATCATACTTTGGAAAATATTGTTCTTAAGTGATACCCCAAGCCAAATTCTGATTATATGAAACTATACTTTTAATTTTTTTTATATATCTCTTTATACCTATTATCTTGGTTGCCAGAAAACTGGTGTTTATTAAAATGCCAACCATTAGTAAACACTTCCTTTATAGAAACATAGCACCTTTTTAAGATTTTCCCCAGGATGGGAAAAATAATAGTTATAGATGATATTAATGTGATCCAGACCAGGCTTCCCAGCAGTAGCTCAAGGGTAATAGTGAGACAGATATATGATATGATATAATAGGCCACCCTTATCTGTGGGGCCTATGTTCCAAGACCCCTAGGCGATGCCTGAAACCTCCCGTAGTACCAAACCCCATTGCCATCAACCAGAACACATTTCTGTTCATGTCTTCCACCCACAAATTTAATGCCTGAGCACTTGTCATGCACTGTGGTCTTAACTTTTGCAGTCTGAGGTATGACAGCAAAACTAGCACAAATTTTTTTCTTCACAATTTCACAGATAATAGATTTGTTCTTACTGTAGAACACAGCATACAGACTTTTTTTTCCTTAATGACTTGAGAACTTTCACCTTTTGACTTAAAGGAAACACTGTAGGGCTTTTCTCTGGCATATCCAAATTGCCAGCATCACCACGCTTGTGCTTGGGGGCCGTTATTAAGTAAAATAGGGGTTACTTGAACACACGCAATCCCAAAATAGTCTATCTGAAATGGCTACTAAATGACTAATGGGCAGGTAGCATATATGGCGTGGAGATACTGAACAAAGGGATGATCCGTGGCCTGGGTGGGATGTTGAGGAAGGCAAGAGATTCCATCATGTACTCAGAACGGTGCACAATTTAAAACTGATGAATTGGTTTTTTTTCTGGAATTTTTTTATTTCATATTTTTGGACCATGTTTGGCTTCGGGTTACTGCAACCATGGAAAGTGAAACTGCAGAAATCGAAACTACAGATAAAGGGAGACTACTGTGTAGAAATAGGATTAACCACTTCGGTCTGGCGCTCACTGGCCGGGAAACCTTGCCCACAGCCGGCACTCACAGTCCGCACGATAGTTTGTGCTGTGCATTGACGCTGAACCCGTTTTGCTCTTGTGTGATGAGGAAGCTTTAAAGCACTGAAAGCTTGTTTTACTTTACAGGCAGCTTTACTTGTAATATAAATCAGAATAGGTAACATATACATATATGTTTTCATTACGTTATTTGTAAATGTTCTCAATTTTATTTTGATAAATGAAAAATTTAGAAAAGTCATATCCCGGCTGTCTGCTAAAGTCGGGCCTGGCTGTGTGCCTTAGTATCACGGGTGTCGGCCAAAGTCGCTGTGCGCCTCCATCTGTGGCTGTCGCCTATAGTCGTCGCTCGTACCAAAGTGGTTAAGGACAAAAGAACAAAATGTTCAGTATCTATCGTGTTCTGTCCTTAGCTTTTCATTTTATATTTGAGGAAGGCAACTGCAAGGTCTAATGTAAAAATCTACTACAGCAATGATCCAATTATTCCCCAGAGAGAATAGATACTATCTTCCATGAATTGTATGTACCTGCAGGAAACTTAATTCCACGTAAACTTCTCGCTTCTCAGCATAATTTTGGTGCCTCCCCCGAGCTGCCCAGCGGGTGGGTGCTCACTGGACACACTATCATTTTACTATCAGCCCAAGCAAAGCAGGAAGGTAAATCCATATATTACAGAAGTCAGAAAACACTGATATTCTGATACTAATTTTCAAATATAATCTGAAGCATACTACAAGGATTTAGGACAGGATGCTTTATAGTTATTAATGAGTAGGATGGAAACTGGACTAGGTGTTGAGAGGCTCATTCTGATTATTGTCTCAGAGCTTCTGACTTGAGCAGAGTCAATTTTTTTTATCCCTGGGCTTCACATTCTGCATCTGTAATAGTAGGATGTGGACTACCACTAAAAGTGAATTGAAACTGTGAAATTCAATTATTATTCCACATTTTCCACAGGATCTATATACTCTTTTTTTTTTTCAATATACTCTTTATTCAGCTTCATCCCCAAGGATACAGCAATTTATATCTTTCTGAAATGAACAGTCACACTATTTAAAGATAATACTTTTGGAAGGATATGGAAGATCTTATTAACCTTTTTTTAAACAATAATAACTAATTTTTTAAATTTCAGAATATTACGGGCATACACACATTTTGATGACATAATTTGCTTTCGTACAGTTTGAGTCAAAGGTGTAAGTGTGCCCTTTACCCAGATAGTGAGCCCTGTAACCATTTAAACTATCAGAATAAACTTCTTTGGGAGTGTGAGTGATTTAGGAAGTTTCAGTAACTCCTGGCAGAGGTTCAGGCTTCTTGCCTTGTCCATCATCAGCAACTTAACTGCACTGCTTTGTGTTATATATGACTTTCTAACACCGATTTCTCTGATTTTTCCCTGTCGACTCTCCAATTGATAAAAATGTGTATAATTGTTCTGCTGCTGCTTGCTGCTTTTGCCTGCTTTGGCTGCTGCATATACAGGTGAAGATCTGGAAAGAAATGATGGATCTACAGAAAAACCCTACTTCATAACCCCTAACCTGCACAGAATTCTGATCAAGAAGCAACTAGTTCCCCGGAAACAGAGTAGAAAAGCACCAAACAGTGTCACTCACTTTTAAGTAGAAGTTTTGTAAATTGGGTCAATTGTAATTTGAAGTTGTTGCTTTTCAGTAATGTGAAATTTCTGTGCTTATGTCTAAAATGTCAGCAGCTGGTACCATCTGAGGTGTCAGGCATTTGATGACAGCAGTTTCTATCAACTTTTAGACTGTGGTCCCAGCTGAAGAGCAAAGTGTTAATGTTAAACATTTTTAAAAACCTATAGCCAAAAGTGTTTTAATAACTTTTATAACTCAGCATGCTGCTTGTATTGCAGCACTTTGATAGCCTTTCTTTTTTATAAGTGTATATTTGTAAAGGATATTCAGGCAATTTTTGAAAACACTATAAATGTGTAATCAATTAGCCATAAAAATATTGATTTATAGTTAACCAGCATATGGTACTAAATTTGTAAATATGGTGCTATGGTTATATTTATACTGTTCAAGATGGTGGACAACCCTCTAAACTGTGATTAAGCTTGTGTTAATGGTTCTCTAGGAAGTATATTTCAGTAAGTGAGTCAAGTCCATAACAGACATATAGATGTTAATGTTACATAGGTTCTACAGAGAGCATTACTGAGTAAAAATGACCATGGAACCTTTATAGTACATTCTGTTTAAGTAAAATTATATTTATATTGAAGTTGAATCTGAGTTCTGGAATGTCATTTCCAATAATAGGAATCTCTGGCCACCATGAAAATATTCTGAACAAAACTTAAATTGCCACAAACTCATGCCTTTTGTCTCTAACCTAAATTTCCTATTTCTACCATATAGAAGATCAGTGTGAATTTGTTTCAGAAGAGTGATTATATCTTTTCATGGGCATACTTGTATTTTTGGCTTAAAGAGACTGTGTGGCTTTGTTCTACAAAAGGTTTAATTTTAGCTCAAGTTTCAGTGAAGAGAAAGAAAAGTATGACCCTTCAAATTTTAGGGAAATTGAGGAAATATACCATTGGCATATGCCAAATATACCATTGGCCCTCCATTAATTAGGTACCTCATCTGGTACCTTTACAAGGGGCAAACTTTGGGTTAGGAAATCTCTCCTTCCAGGGCTTAGGAAGAAAGTTGTCACCACACTCCACCTCTGCTGGCCTGAGGTTTCTGGCAGCCATGTCCAAGTCTTGCATGGCAGAGCAAAGCATGAATCAGACACTCATAGACCTTGCCTGTCCACCCTGTGTGCAAATGCATATCATATGGCTAACAGTGTAAAAAAGCAACCCAAAAGGAGCACTGAATCAATTTCCATCCTTTTGGCTTTTACACTAAGCTTGTGTATAAGGATTATTTAGGTATTAACAGAAAGGAACATGTTGGTCTAATGTGTTCATCTGAATATGATCCATACATCCAAGAAAAGTCAGAAATGTATTATCATGTTATAAATTAATATAAATACTAGTTTATTTAATTATCCTGAAGTGTAGAAACCTAGATTTAGACTAACTCCATGGCATATTAATAGCAAGAAGCCAATGAATGGAAAAGCTTTTCAATATATTGGTCCTTATAATGACTACCAACTTGTTCTCAGCTTACTTTCTTGAGATTATTATAGTCAGAAGTGTCACTTGGCTTCATATCTTGGCAAAGAACTTAATTCCTTATCATTCTCTTGAAGCATAAAGCAGGAAAGAATGATAACTTCTCTTTCTGGATTATTATTATTATTTAATTCAATAATACAGGGGCCACAACAAAGAACTAGTAGAATAGTAACCTTTACCTGAGAATTTGTTATAGATACCCGTGGCACCCCCAGCCAAGAGATTCTGATATATTGTGTTTGGATGTGGGCCACCATGTGAATTATTATAAAGTTCTCTATTTCATTCTGATGCACATAAAAGTTGGACAAGCACTTGAATAAAATATAAATCAACATGTAAGAAACTAATTGCCTATTTATATTATGGTATTTCTAGTAAGAAAAATATTCTCCATTTATTACTTTTTTGTGTAATTGAAATACATAGAGCAAAACTGAGTGTTGTTTTTTAGAAGAAATGTAGAAACCATTTTCTTACAAAGCAATTCAACTAATAGCTGTGGCAAACCAGGACAATATTCCTTAAAACTTGCAGTTCATGCATTTGAAATACTATAAAATTTTACAACTCTTATTTTTCAAGGCTGTACTATCTAAATTGTTGATGGTAAAATAAAATCCATTTTGAATAAATACGGTAATTTAGAAAGTAAATTGAGAAAAAGAAGGTAAAACTTATTTCCTCAATCACGCAACTAAGGGACATGCAATATGGTCAGAATCTTATATGTTACACAGAATAATATAATACCTTACTGATATAATAACAAGGGCTGAGTGTTTTCTCATAACTATGTTTACAATAATGTTGATGCCAAACTATGCTGTTTAGAAAAAAAAACTAACATTTTGAACTGCTGTAAAGCAAGTAAGCAGCAGATGGCGATGTTACTTCTCCTACAGTTTTGCTTTAATATTTATTCTGTGCCATTCTTCCTCCTAGTGGACGATTTAGAAAGAAACGATGGTTCTACTACAAGACCCTATTACGTGAGTCCGTCTCTGCTGAAGATTTTCCAGGATAACTATTCACGAACTAAGAAAAGGTAGAAGAGCAAACTGGTCATCCTACAGCGATGTGTTACTCTTTCCCCATCTGCTGTGTCTGTGCAACGCTCCTTTCAGAAGTGCTTTGTGTTTAGCAACACTGTATTCATGACCTTGTTGGCTTGTATTTGCATGTTTTATACCAAAGCTTATACTGTAATATGTGAAGCCATCAGAAATCCCAAGGGAATTGTTAATAACATGAAACATTTTTATACTAAGACTTTTGTTTTGTAATTCATTTTTAAATAGAGTGTCTTGGATGTTTTGAAAATACTACCGTATATGTTAATATTCTTTTAAATATTGGATTGAAAAATGATACATTATTTAAATTGATAGCTCCTAATATATTTTTTAAATTACAACAAAAAGACTTCTTCTGCAGGGAAAATTAGCAAACAAAGTGAGATTAAAAAGTTTAAAGCTTTTTGCCAATCCTATTTGACAGTAAATCAGTGAAAGGACCTCCCCGTTTCAGAGTTTGCTCTCTTTAAATATAGAATGTTTCCTATTAGACGAATTGCCAATCATGCAGCCTTTACTACTTCGTCCTCTGACAAAGTGCCTTACTGGCTGTCTAATACTACCCAGCTTTTGTGGGCAAGTTTACAAACACTGTTTAAAAAAAAGTAAAACCTGCGATGTTTAGTAATTAAAACAAGTCTTGCATTTGTTTTCCTCTTACTCACTGGTTGGAAACCATTTGTCATTTCAGTATGTTTGATATCCTTGTTATTATAGAGTACATTGTGCAGCTAAACAATTTCCCTTGCGCCTAGTGGACATTCATGAATGTGTACTATACGCAAGAAAAAAAAATCCTGAAAGGACACTTGTAGGGTTTCTTTGATTTTTTACTAAAAGAGAACTTTCAAAATATAATCTTTTCTATAGTAGACCTTTGAAAATACAATAAGTATAATACTGCATTTCTCAGTGTTTTACATAGGTTGGAAAGGGAAACTTCTAGGACTTACAAAGGGAATCTTCATGCCCTCAAAAGGATGCTCACAGATGTCATGTACTTAATAGCTCCATTTTACATGACCATTTGTTTTCACTAAAGCCTGTTCTATATATATCATTTCATTTTTCAACTTCTGATATTAATCAGTTTACTTATAATTTAATTTTATTGTGCTAATAAATAAAAACAATTTCTAAATCAGTTTTAAATAATTTTACTAGTACTATTAACTTTTAAGGAAATTAATTCAATTTGTTACTCAGTGTTACAGAAAGAGTCCATAAAAGTATTCACCCTAATGGAATGTCAATCACGTAATGATAATTTGTTAATGTTTTGAGAATCGATCAATAAGAAGTTACTATCAGTTAATCTGTTATCACATTTGTTTAAATGTGACTTTAGATACTTTTATGCCAAAAATAAACCCATATGAGCACATGACAGTCTGAGCTCTATAATCAGTATGCTTCTGCTGTGCAGAAATATTAGGAAAATATTGTCTAAATACCTTTGATAATTGAAATGTTTAATATTTAATGAAATTTATTGTTATCCATTGTTTAAAATCTGTTTTTTCTTTTAATAAAGATTTAGATAAGAAAGAACTGTCTGACTTTTTATTTCTTAAAGCAAAAAAATGATAAAAGCTTGCGTTTTTAAAACCTACCATACTACGACAATATTTTCTCTGTACCAAATATCTAGGGTTTTTTTAAACATCTAGATTTATCTTTTAAAACTTCCATTTTTCTCTAGCTGCACATTGCCAAATGAAATAACTGAAACTGATAATTTATAAAAACTTCATAAGTCAAAGCTAAATGGATAAGAGATGGATTTTTAAAAAACCCAAACAATGGCCTAAATAAGTTAGTTTGTCTTTAATTTGCCGAAGGTTTGCTTAGTACCTCATTTGCTTTGTCAAAATTCATAAGAAAAAAAAATCATGATTTTCAAGGCCAGAATAATTTAGATAACCTAAAAAATGTAAACACCAAATGACAGTAGTTTTCTACAGCAAGATCAATCGTACCTTTCACTGTTTTATCTTAGGCTAATTTTTTTCTTAGGTTCAAATAATCCTTAAGAAATTATCAGTTTCTTTCAAAGAAAATATAAAACAATGTTCTTGCAGTTTACAGGGTTCTTTTAAAATATTTTAAATCTAATAATATGTTTGTTAATATAGCTGATTCATTTTTTTACTGGAAATAAAAATATAGTTTGATTTCCAGAAGAAATCCAAATTCTGCTTTCGCTCTTAATAACTCCTACTTTTAGATGATAAAGCACTTATCATAATTGTAAATAAATTGTATAAAATTGTACTATGATTGATTTGGTTTTTCCATGTGCCTAAAAAGCTCAGAAAGAGTTTGTGTCTCCATATAGTAAAATAAGACTATGAGGGATTCTGTGGGATCATCAGGGGTAATGCAATTGTTATTTAAACTGATATTGGAAAACAGACTTTGTGTAACAGTTCCTTATTTTTCTTTTAGTATAATATATGGCTAACCAGTACTCATTCCAATGCATGTTCTTTCACTTTTACAAGTGGCGCCTCAGGAAATTGCTCTTAAACTCTAACCAGGCATAGTAATTATCTTTAGTATTATCTGGTTCTGGATTGGGGAACATGCTTTATAAATCAGTCTTTGTTGGCATAAGATAGGGGACAAAATTGAACTAAAATCATTATTGCAGATCATGGTGTATGAAATGGTATCTTAACGTGTTTTCCAGTTTCTTGCAAACGTTATCCTTAGATGTTTGCAAATTAAAAATATATATATAGCTATATGATTACAAGAATACAATTCTATAATGTCTTATAATCTAATTTTTATTATCTACATCTAATAAAGTAAATAAAAAACACAAAAAAATATGTAGCAGGAAAATATTCTTCAAAGTTACTTCCTATATACCATGATTTTAGTCTTAAGGTTAAAATGGGTATTAAAAACTTTTCTCTCAGGAGCTAGCTCAGTTACTTCTGGTTATTAGTAAACCTATTATCATGCAGAAAACAAAGCCAACTCCCGTTAAAACAAACATGAATTTATGAAAATCAAGAACCACTTTATGCAAGGCTTGGATGTCAGAACAATGTCACAGTCATGGACCCTCTTAAAATTTTTCAGGCCAAACTGAATTACCCTCTCCCACATTTGCAACTTTTAATCGCTTGAAATGAAAGGTAGCCAAAACAGTATAGAATCTGGTAATATCTCCTGTCATGGTTTCTGTGCTGGGGGAATAGGTTCTGTTGTGTGACACATTTAAAAGCAATCAATTCAATTTTACTATTTGAAATCACTAGCTTGTTTTCTTCTTTAAATTTAACTCCTTGTCTTTTTCTCCAGTCCTTTGTATTTACTGTATTAATCAGAAAAATTTAGGCAAGTGGGAAAATTGTGAATGCCCTTCTATTGCTGGCTCAAAAACTTGGATACATCTTCATCTTCTGGCCCTTTGCAGTCAAAGAGCACAGTGTGTTAACCAGAGTAGGAAAGGCTTATGGAATGAGAAAGATGCATTCTACATATAAATTAAAATGGAGCCAAAACTTGATTCATCGTTAGAACAATGTTGGACTCACCACATTCTTCCAGCAGGATGAATGTGCACTGTTGCATGTGTGTCTGCACAGAAAGGAGAAAATAAGGTAAGATGTTGGGAAAAGCATTGGTGTCCAATCTCTAGTGGGATACAAGAGGGCAATGTTACAGGAAGTGGGGTAACTTCTGAATGCAATCAATAAATGTATTGAAAAAAAACCTCCATAGCAAATCAGAAGACAGTAAGTAAACAAATAAAAATATTTTTCCAGCCAGGCATGGTACCACACACCTGTAATGCCAGCTATTGGGCAGGCTGGAGCAGAAGTATCACTTGAGCCCAGGAGTTTGACGCTAGCCTCAGCAACATAGCAAGACCCTGTCTGTAGAAAAAAAAAATTATATATATATATATATATTCCATCCTCTGGCAAACAGAATTGAAGGTGACTGTGTTACAATGAAAGTAATCACAGAGATGTATTTATCCCAAACAAACATAAAAGAATGATGTCCCAATATGATTTATGACTAAGGGATTAAAAAACATCTGCCACTTTCACAGTGCTCTTGCATGTTAGCCAAAGCTTTGCTGTCATGGTGAGCTGGTATATTTCTCTTTTTTCCTCTGAATACTAGGGTGGATTCTCTTTCAGACTTTCTCTCTTGTTTCCTTCATTCTAAGTCTGCCTCTTTTTAATCTCATTTTCCCTTACCTATAAAAAGTGGAAACTTCAATAAATTCCTTGGAAGGAAATGGAGGTGGGAGAGGACAAGGAAGAATGAAAATGAAGACTTCAACCAGCAGCTTGGGTCTTGCTGTGGAGGGGCAGGTCTGTGGTGTGAGTTCTGAACAACTCTAGGGCATCAGGAAAGGCAAACGACAGAGCCCAGCAGTGGAGCATAGGTGCCATTAGCACAGGCTTTGGAACCAGACCAGGTGAGCTTCAATTCCAAAGTCCCCCTGTTACTCTGCGACCATGAGCAAGGTTTTTAACTGCTCAGAGGCTTCCTTATCTGACAATTGAAGCTAATGCTCTCTTCCCAGAGCTGCTGGGGATGATGACATGACAGCATGAGCATCATACTCATTATCAAGGACCTGGTACAGAGACACGCAATGCTTGGTACTCTTTAATGGTGATATTCACTTGACTGAGGACTTTCAGTACCCTGGATGATTTGGCTTTACCACCCCCTTCCTGTCCCAGAGGGCAGCTCATTTGGGGCTCTATGGGAAGCCAGTGAAAAGCATCACATTAGTGGGAGCCTCCTCCCACTACCACCCCTGCACCCAGGCCAGAGTCAGTGAGAAAGATGTGGGTGATTCTCTCCTTCTCTTCATTCCAAATCTCACATGAGGCATCCTTAACTTAGCTTGAATTTTTGGGTCACTGTTGACGGACGCTTTTTAAGTATCCAAGAAGAATTTCACTGAGAGTTCAGCTCTCTTGACTCGTGCTTCCTCACTGTGATCTTCCTCTCATAAATATTGGCGATAAGCCAGGTTTGTGAAGTTGCCAAATTAGACGGCATTTCTACAGTCCCCCAACCTTTACTTGTTCTCTAAATAATGCTGGAAACGGAATAACATTTAAATTTAATGTTGCATAACTAGATGAATGTAGCCTTCGGACCTGAGACCATAGATCCTCACTTTATGTGTCTGGTGGTGGTTTTCCTCTGCAGACCTTACTCCATGAGTCTGTGCAGGCGGTGGAAAGACTTTCCTTCTGCTCCGCTGTATGGTGTTGCCAGGCAGGAAGCCTCTGCTTGACTGCAGACTTCAAGTCTGTCTTGAGGATTGACTATTTCTGGCTTTCTAGGTGGGGCTCCTGTTTTCCTGAGGCAGAACAAGATGGCCCTACCAGTCTTAAATAAAATCAGCGGAGAAGAAATCATGCTTAAAAGCAATATTCCTTTTCTTTCAGTGGATAATAAAGTAGCTTTCAGTGGGCATAAAAGAGATAGAAAAGGAGTGGCTAGAAATCATTTTATGCCATGTCATTTAAATAACCATAGTATTTTATTTCAACTCACCATGTAAACTAATGAATAGGAAAATCATTTGCAATCTATCACATGAAACCCAAAATATTACTGTGTTTTTGGAAGATGGGGTCAAGAGAAATAAAATTTGAAAATTTGATTTTTATCAAATAAAGGAACAAAATTAGAGATTTTTGAAACTGTACAATTATATTCTTTTTTCATATAGTTTCTTGGAGCATTAGGATATTTTTAGAATACCAATTTTAACAGTTATGTGATAAGAAGAAGTAGGAAATATCTGAGCACAAAATATTTTTCTAGCTCATACAAAAATTAAATGTTAAGATAAAGGAACAAAAAAATCTGAGAGAAAATATGCTAAATGTTAAGAAATAATGTTTTCATGTTTTCCTAATTTATTATTTTTAAAGTAAATTATTTCACAAATTTCAAAATTTAACCTTTTTTAAAAAACAAAGTTGTTTTAATTTCTGCTATTAGAAACTTCTTTTTAAATTAATTTTGGTTTGCTCCTCACACAATTTTCTGCCCTTGTTTTTGTTTTTTCATATGTTAGTCTTGGGCATATAATTGCTCTTGAACTGGTTTTATCAAGTGTGAGCCATTATGAAGTAGTCACTCTCAAATGGTCCTTAATGGAACTTAAAAGCAGAAAATAAATCACATGTAGGGAGGACCCTTGATGGGCCTTGATTGCCTTAGAGGACGATGCCTGCGGTGTGTGTGCCTGTACGCACATGTGCAAAGATGTGCAAATGTGTGTGTTAGGAAGGTGGATTTGGTGTGTGACCAGCATACAATGAAGTACATGAGCAACTCTCATCTATTGCTGCTATCTCAGAAATACTAAAAACAATCACTTTCTATCTCTTAATAAGAAACTTAGCCACATGCCAAAATTACCTCAGTATTAAGAACGGAAATAAGAGCTGATCTAAAATGTTTCCTATCATGCTCTCCTATATATCCCCAAACCACCGAATGCACTCATTAGGTTTATAATATGGTGTATTTGGAGGAAAGAA